ATGCAGGCTCTGACTGGAACCGATGGGAAGGCAGGAGTCCTGGACCCCGATGAGATCCAAGCCCACGAGCAACTAGAGGTCTGGCTGCGAGCGTGGGGGAGGAACCCGAAGGCTCCCTCTTCCGAGCTTTTCCTTACTTCGTGGAAAGAGCCGCGTGTGGCAGTGGCACCCACTCATGAGTTCGTGGGAGCGACAACCCAGGCGAAAGCAGGCGGAGGCAAACGCACCACCGTGAAGCCAGCACTCAGTGAAGTGGAGAGGCTGGTCCAGCCCGCATCCAAAAGAGGCGGGACTACTGGGACCCCCCGCCCCCGAGGAGGGAGCACAGCAGAGCTTGACCAGGTAGCCATGGAAGCTGTCTTGGCCAAACTGGCTGATTCAACTCGCAGGGTCTATGCATCAGGCTGGAAGCAATGGGCGTTGTACAATGCCAGCTCGGGCACTCACCCGTTCCTTGACGGAGAAGAGCGCTCCGCTCGGACTGAAGACGAGCAGAGGTTGATTCGGTTTGTAGTATTTCTACATCAAGTCATGGGAAGGTCCATAGGTGGGGTCAGACAAAGGTTGTCAGCCATTCGTTATGCACATGTTGCGGCAGGATACCCTGATCCACTGGTCGGGCGACCTCGGTTGTGGGCAGCGGTTGCGGGTCTACAACGTTGGGAAGGCGCCCCAAAACGAAAGCTCCCTGTTACCCCCAACATGTTGCGATGGTTGGTCCAGCACTTGAAAAGTAGCGGTTTATCAGTTGTCGATCAAACCATGATCAAAGGAGCCCTTCTTACAGGTTGGTTTTTCATGATGCGGGCCAGTGAACTCTTGCCCAGTATCAATGGAGAAGACCCCATGAATAGGGCGCTCCGCCCAGCTGATGTTGCTTTCTTTTCGCATGGGCAGCCTACCATAGGCGCCAAGGCCGATGAAGTCGTAGTGCAGATTAGATCTTCAAAAACCGATCAGTATGGTAGGGGCCAAACACGGTCACACCACCGCTCCGGTGGAGATCTCTGCCCTGTTGAAGCCTTAGCCGCGCTACAGGTCCTACAGCCCCATCGGTGGCGCAGCCCTGAAGACGAGGCGCCTTTGTTCCGCTATGAAGACGGGACGGGGCTTGACAGAGAGGGCATCACCCATTTCATCAAGATAGCTGCATTGGCCGCCGGGTTTCCTGGCGAACTCGCTGGTTCACACTCACTACGTAAGGGGGGAGCCACTGCATTTTTCGCAAGTACTGGGGACTTAGAAAGGCTTAAGAGGTACGGTGGTTGGTCATCCGATGCTGTTCATGCTTACCTTTATGAAGATCATACCGCTCAGAAAGGGATTTCAGAAGGGATGTTGGGTACCAGCCTCATTACACTCCCCAGCCAAAAAGACCCCGGGGTCCGTAGGCATCCAGCGGTTGTTCCAACTGAACCCCAAGAGTCCTATCCTGGTTTATTGGGGGTCCCTCAAGATGAGTTATTCCATAACAGTCATGGAGGATCAAACCCTTTTAGCAGCCCAGTTGCCACGAAGCGAACATCCAGAGCTCCTCGAGGCTCAAACACCAATCGTGCATTTTCGTGGGCACCAGATCGTAAGGTATCGTTTGCAGTGAAGGCTGGTGCTATGGATGCTACTGATGAAAGTGCCGATGGGGGACGAAAGCCAGCAGCTCCAGATCGAGCCAATGCAGCGAACCTCTTTGTAGCAGCTCACCCAGGACTAGATCTTTATCAATTCCTGGGTGTTCCACCCGGTGCGACTCCAGCTCAGGTGCTCACCGCATATCGTCGCAGGTCCCGTGAGACTCATCCAGACCGCTTTGCAACTGCTGGGGAAGATGTCCAGAAAGCCAAAGGAGAGGAGTTTAAGATGTTGGGAATGGTCCGAGAGATCCTCTTGGATCCACTGATGGCCACTCAATACATGAGGTGGAGACAAGAGCAAATTGCTGCAAAGCATGGGCGAGGCCGTTCCCCAGTTGTTCCAGCTGGTGTCTATGCCAAGCAAGCTTCATCATTCCAACAAGCCAGATCAAGTTTTGATCGGTCCTCCACTCCTGCTGGCGCAGGAGCCAGCAGCTCGGGAGGAGCAGGCCGGGAGGTGCCTCGTAAACCGCCCCCCCCTTCACAGGGATATCCTGGAGGAGGAGCGCAAGGAGGACCGCCCCCAGCCAAAGCCCCTCCTGCTCCAGCAGGGACCGCGCAAAAGCCAAGGAAACCTCCACCGCCCGCGAATCCGCCTACTCCGAGCTCAAGTGCGAAGCCAAGGAAAGCACCGCCACCAAGAAATGATGATGGGAGGCCCAGAGGACCTACCACCCCACCAATGCAAAAAATGGCACCCACGCAAGCTATTCCAAAGGGAGCACCGCCAACACCGGCCAAGCATTTCCCCAGGGCGACCCAACCATACACTGGAGGGGGCATGGTGGACGATTTGCGAGTTCCTCGCATCGCACTGGCAGATGCAGGGGTGAAACGATCAGACGCTCCGTCTGAGTCTTGGTGGTCAGAGACGTCATCCAGATATAGGGCCCCTTCGAGCTGGTTGGAGCCCGGGTCTGAGCCTTGGGTCGAAGATGACCTTCCACCGGAGAGCACCGTCCCAGACAACGAGGATGACTATGTGTATGTTGAGGTGGAAGCTGAAGACGATGACATGGACATCCTCCAAGACCACCAATTCGATGAAGAAGATTGGGACGAGCCGGCATGGGAAGAGCTCCCTGAGGAGGGGACCGGGTCTGAGCAAGTCTTCCAAACCTTCGATCAAGCCGTGATGCAAGGACTGCTCCAGTTCATGGATTTCGTGAACAGAGGACGGGCCAAGATGCTGATTGAAGGTGCTCCACCTATGACTTCTGTCCCAAAAGAGGTCCGGGAGGCATGTTTGGGAGACCATCCGGGGCTTCTAAAAATGCATCCCAGCGCAAAAGCATGGCTAATGGCAGGGACGAAAGGTGTCGAATTCAAGAAGCCACCACCTCCTAAGCCTCCCATGCTTTCGGCTCCCCCAAAGGTGGCTCCGCCGCCACTTCCAAAGCCAGCTCATCCAGAACAGGTACCTGAGCCAAAGGAGCCGCCGAAAGCCCTAGCCCCCAAACCAGTTCCTCCAGTGCTGATGCAGAAGACACCAGCACCAAAGAAGCCCCCTCCGCCACTGCCAGCAGCCAACTATGCCATGCCGGCAAGAGCTATGGGACTCGGTTCAGGCGCAACAGCATCATCTTCTGAGGGCGCTCCGCCCACTGAGGTGAACCACTTTGGGTTTGACGAGTCTGAAGTCGACTATGGTGATGACGATGATCGAACCCCTGAGGAGAAGGCAGAAGATGAGGAGCTGCTCGAGAAGACCAAGACGAAAGTGGAAGCTTTCCTGCGAGCACCCCCAGAGATGAGGAAGACGCTTCGCTCCCAAGCATGGAAGCGGTGCAAGAGCAAACTGGAGGAGCTCAACTTTGAGTTCAGCACTCGTCCACTGCCCGAAATGCACCCAGGCAAATTCGAGAAGGATCTCAAGGATGGCTTCACCTATGCGGAGGCCAAACAACGCCAAAAGGGCCGGCAACGGGCCGCCCGACATCAGCGAGCCTTGGCTGAAATGGAGGGTGCCTCCTTTGAGGATTTCCCGAAATCCTGGTCACATGGGTATTCCAAGCAAGTCCTGAAGCCGGGTTTCCTCGAAGAGAAGAACAAGGAGCGGGCCCGCCGAAAAGCTACAAAGGCCAACTATCGATCCGATAGATCACGCAGCACTCCACCACCTCGCCAGTCAGCTGCTCCAGCTGCTGCATCCAACCAGGCTGAAGCTGAAAGCACGGCCAACTGGGAAGCAGGAAGTCAATGGCACGACTGGCAAGCGAGACGCAGCAGTGAGTGGCAACGGCATCAACCAGATGTCACACAACGGAGAGATGCAAATGCCGCAGACGATGACGACTGGGGCAACTGGACCAGAGATGGGCAACGAGGCAGCAACCAAGATGGCTGGTCCAGCTATGACTATGGAAACCATCAGGATCGACAGTGGAACCAGTGAGACTTTGCCGTGGCAATTCTGCATTCATCCGTGTTCCATGGAGGCTTCAACGTACAGGTTGCCTACTGAGAGCCGGGGAATGTCTGAGGCAGCCTTGATTCTTTGTTTCACGGTCGATACCATGTGGGTTTTCTTTTGCATGTCCATTGTAGATTTTTATTTGGCGGATGCCCATGCCTATTTCGGGGGGATATGCCGCTGACAGAATGTCGGCTGGCAAGTCTCTCTGGGTGAGTGGTTTGTACAGAGACTGCACCACTCGTCACAGACAAAAATAGGAGTCGTGAGCGCTCCGCTTGTTTTGGTAGCATGTCTCTAGCTAACTTGGATGTTCACTAGAACGGAGGGTTAGCGTGTTTTGCTACTGTCATTTTGGGCTCAAGTCTTTGCCCATTTTGATTGTTGGCCCTCCCACCCACCCGGGGGGATATGCCGCTGACAGAATGTCGGCTGGCAAGTCTCTCTGGGTGAGTGGTTTGTACAGAGACTGCACCACTCGTCACAGACAAAAATAGGAGTCGTGAGCGCTCCGCTTGTTTTGGTAGCATGTCTCTAGCTAACCAAACTGTAACTACCAAAGGGTCATCCCTGTCATCCCTCATCTTTGACGCTGAAATCCATATTTTTTCCATGGGCGAATCCACCATGTTTCATGGCGAAATCATGGTCAATCCATACATTTCTCCATGGCTACCATCTGGTTATGACTCACAGTTCGCCATAGAAAAATCCCCATTTTTTAGTTCGGTAAACCATCTATTTCGATTAGGGTCATCGAAAAACCATGGCAAACTGTGAATGTCATAACCAGATGGTACCCTCTGGTAATTTAACATAACTATGGAAAATCACCACTTTTTATGGGAAAATCCACTATAAATGGCCATTTTCAATAGCTATGTTAGTCATAAGCAGATGGTAAATTCTCCATTTTTCACCGGATTCCACCGGTTCATCCACCGGATGCCGCGCACCTCGGCGGCGGCCTTGGCATCCTCGGCGGCTTTCCGGTCGCGGAAGGCGGCCAAACGCTCCTGGGGGATGCCATGGGATGTCATGGTGCCATGGTCCCAGAATTTCTTGAGTCAGTTTTTGGGAAAAATGACCAGAATATTGACCAGAATATCACTATAGGTCCAATTATGATGCAACATAATTACCAGAAAGAATGGGAATGTGTGTGGGGTATCTAAGAACCATGTTGGTCTTTTTGGGTGTGTTTAGGGAAATTCAAGATGATGTGCATCATCCAAAAATGAACATCGTACACGCTTCATTATCTTGGAAGCGACTCCATAAAGCAGCGTTTGCTGGGTGGAGAAGACATTCACCTTGGAGGACTTTGCTAGACTAATGGCTGCCAGACTGCTTCTATCGATGGTTGAGACTTTATTTGTTTTCAAAAGTTCGTGTTTGGCGATGCCAAGGAACACGACATTAGCTGCTACCAGGGGCTGCCTGTACCAGTTCCTTTCATTGACTGTTTGCACAAATGAAGACGATTCCGTATTCGTGAAACCCATAATATGGAGGGTTCCTAAAATAGGGGTACCAGTAAATCATCTATTTTAAGAGGATTTTCCATTACGAACCATCCATTTTGGGGTACCTCCATTTATGGAACCACCCATATGGAAATGGTGGGTTCAACCGAAAACGGTCGTTTGAAATGATGATACGGACAGGCATGGGATGGAGTCATGGCGTTTCACGAAGAGAAACCCTCAGGTTTGGCAGAGACGAAGGCAAGAGCTTGAACCGAATCAGTTTGGGCTTCACTTCAATCAGCATGGCACAAATTAATTTCATGATCTCCATGGACAGATACTAAACATATGAGCCATGGTCTCACTATATGGTTGATGGTCATCCCATCCATAATAAGGATCCTTTTTTTATGGTTATTATAAATCCCTATGAAGCATTGGATGACTAGCCCCTATTAATGGTTATTAACCATGAGTATTGACCATAGCTCATATTGAAACTAGTTAATCGATACTGCTATTGGAATCATCCATGACACCTGCAATGGCAATCAAACCTGGCAATGGAAAAGCCATGATTGGGGCGTGACCCAAGGGGACCCAAAAATGGGATCCTCGTTTCCATTTCTATGACTTCCTAAAAATGTATTCTATCTTGGTATTGCTGTTTACTCTCAATATATCCCATTATCTCGATATATCCCCATTATCATTACAACACAAATCTTCAAATATCCCCATGATATCCGAACACATATGTAATATCCCTAGCTCCAAAAATACATCCGAACATGTCTCAAAATATCTGGCCGTCCTCGGTCTCGGAGATTTTTCGTTTGTTCTCGGCCACCGCCATATCTAGCAAGGCTGGACGGTAGTTCTCCGTCGACCTGGTACTGTTTGTCGATGACGAACAGCTGGTTTGTTGGATGCTTGAAGCGAAAATGATGAACATGTGGAAACTAAATTCGACTCATCAAATATATGGGATTCAGATGGATGTATTTGGATATACAATGATATATACGTATATATAATGATATATATATAATGGCATTTATGTTCTATAACTGTTCCCTTGATGCAATTGCGGCCTGCCATCATGACCATTGACCCAGCTCCAGAACTCCACGATGGACAGCTCACCGTCCTTGAAAACGACACAAAATTCATGGGGTGATGGAGCGAACTGCTTATCTCTTGTGTTTATATAAAACTATACAAAACTTACATAATAGCCGCCAAGATATATTGTTGTCAATAAGTTTGAGCCACACCAAATGATCTCAATGGATCTCAATGGTTTGCCAGCTTGTTTTCCAACGTCAAGATACTTCAAGTGGCCACGCAGAAAACCACATGACCATGGTTGACCCATGCCTTATCCATCCGTTGCTACCTGTCCTTGTTCTTGTCGAACTGGTCAATCAAGGCCTCCACCTGCTTCTCATCCCAGGAACTGAGGGACAGAAGGACCTCAAAAGACCAGGGCTTCCCCGTTCTGGCCGTTGTACTGGAGATAGAAAAAGATTTTCCAAAGAAAAAAAGGACTTCAAGGGTAAATCCCATGATCAAGGGATCATGAGTTTTCACATCAAAATGGCCACGGCTTGATATTAAAAAAAAATCGGGCAAGAGCGTTGGAGAAGCTCCACAGCTTCTTTTCTTAGCGCGGCACTCGTTTCAGCTCATCCACATCGATCTTGCCGCTGTGGTCTGCATCTAACAGTTCAAAGATGAGCTTCACCTCCATGGGATCTGGATGGATCTGGGGTGGTGTGTAGTAGGAAGTGATGAAAATTGGTTCATACTTGGATGAAAATTAGCAAATATATATAATGAAAGATGTTGCTAGTGGGATTTCCAATGTCCTGAGGTTTGAAATTCTGGGGATTTACTCGCTAACAAGTTGGCATCGCTTGGCCTAGCTTCGTCAATGTTTATTCATTGGGTGTCTCCAAAATAGTGATATACAGTGACCTGTATATACATGTGATATATAGTTGTATATAGAGTGGTGTGGTTATTTATATACATATGGTCATAATATATGACAAAATGTGATAAGTGATGATAAGTCATGATAGTTCCAATTAAATGCTACTCTTCCATACTCTTCCCATGTTGCTAAGCGTGGGGAGTTCTGAATGGCGCGACAATTTTGCCCAGCTGCTTCCTCTCCCTCAGTCTGAGGTGTCGCTTGCATGTTCCGACCTGGGCACTCCAAGGTAGCATGAAATGGGTGGGCTGCTGGCAGAATGTCTTAGTTTTTTAACGCACGGATGTGTGCGGAAACATCCAAAATGAGTCAACATGTCTATGCTTATGTCCAATGGGGAAAATGATATGATTCACCACGGGATTTGGGGGTACCCTATTTTCAGACAAAGCCATATTATCCATATCCAAAACCGGTTGGACACCGTTAGGCTTTGAATGGCTTTGAAATCTTCGCAAGTGGCACAGCAGCCTTTGAAAACCTGACAGTCAGGTACTATCATGAAACTATGGCTGGTACTTTCACAGGTCGAAAAAGTCCAAGGTGCGCCATGCCCTCTGAGACATGCGGCTGCGGATGCTGCACATCAAAGGCCGTGGAGTCTGCAAGAGTGAACAGCACTCTTGAGCGGACGATCACAAGACGGAGACATCCTTTTTCCTCTAGGGTTCTGTGAACGATAGAGAAAACTTTGCATGAGCTTCTCGTCAAGGTCCAGAAATCTTTGTATTACTGAGACATCAGCAGCTAGAAATCTTCTATGCCATGCACGAAATGTGCATTGTGGGCAAGCTGCGGCAAGCTCTCAGAAATGGCCGGAATCACCTTGAAGCAAGAAAAATGCCAATATGACAATGGAAAGATTGGAAAGGCTGAGGATGGCTGAGGTCTTTCTGAGATTCTGAGGATCGAACCTTCTGCGCTTCTCAAGTCCTCTCAAATTGTCACATCACACACTGATCACTGGAATATCACTGGAAACTCCACCCGTGGCCAGTCCTGGCAATGAAATGCAAGTCGCGCTGTTGAATTTGGCGAATGTGCTGCAACGAATTTCAGTCGAATTCCAGCGCAGTGGGCTTCAACGGCCGATCTGTGCCCCACAAATCTGGCTGCGAGTTCTACAGCTTGGACACGAGAAAGGAGTGCTCATGACGAGGGCGCCACAGCTCAATCTTCTTGTCTGGGTACACATATGCTGGGATACAAAAGAAGATGCTTTGATGGTTGATAGGACCAAAGTCTCTGGATTTTGAGATCTTTGCACACTCTTCAACAAAATTGAAGCATATTGAACCTAGCATCTGTCCAAGTCACTGATTTCGAATCTGGAACACCAAGCCGTGACAACCCCCATGTTCGGGAAACTCAACAAAAGGGTCTCCCTTTAGGTGTATTATAAAGTCGACCTTAAAGATCTTTCACAATCTCTAAGAATCGCGGATATTGTGGGTATTTGCGGAACGCCCGCGGAGAAACTCGCCAAGCCATGCTTCTCGGCTCTGAGTTCCTGGTCATGATTCAACGATTTCAACGCTCTGTGGGTATTGTTTGCTCTTTCCTGGGTGGCCATGAAACACAACGGGGACAACCCCCCCAAAAAAAAAGACATCTCCAGTTATATATGAGTTGGACTGTTGGACCAGGAAAATCATGGAAAATCATCAAGATCTACGGAATTTCATTCGATTTTCTGGCGGTCTTCCCAGCGGCACCAGGATCACTTAGAACCACAAGATTGGGATCACTTAGAACCACCGGATCACTTAGAACCACCAAGTTAGGATCACCAGAAGTAACCAACATGGTGGAATGAGACCTTTAGGGTAACATTTGGGGACACGGGGCTGGGACATGGGGTGGGTTTAGGGGACCAGCATGGTGGAATGAGACCTAATGATGATGATGATGATGATGATGATGATTGCAGGGTGGTTCCAAGCGATCCCGCGACCCTTCCCAGCCTCCAAGGTGGCCACCGAGGGGCCCGAAAGCTGAGCCTGCCGCTTTTTGCCATGGAAAGTGGCCTTTTCACGCAAGGGGCGTCTAAAATTGGGATGAAAAGAAATCATATCTTGAAGAAATATGAAAAAATGCTATAAACTTGGGGTGTATGCCCCATCCTAGTAACAAGCACACTGGATTGCATGGCATGTGTCGACTATGACTATGATATCTATCTCTATACACTATGAACATGATTGAAAATGACGGTTCCATCATCAAGAGGTGCTAGTTCCGCAGATTTTCTCAGCCAGTTGAGTTGAAGTGTCCACCTTTCTCTCACCATAAAGGCGACATCACGTGCCCAAACACCCCCATATTTGTTCAATCATCACTTGAGCAGTGTTCAAAACCCTCTGGCATTACATGAAATACTGGTTAAGAACAGATTTCCCAGTTTATGATCATGGAATAATCAAGATTTAATGCCGCATTCCTTTTTGATCATCCCCAATACATAAAGGCTAGTATGCCCCCTATATCCTGGCCTGCGCGGTGAAAGTGGCTGCTCACCTTGGTACCCGGAATTTTTGATGACAAATGCTGTTGAAAACCCTCAAACAAGGCACGCCTTAAAGTGGTTTTGGATATCTTTGGATCCTTTCAATCAGATTTAGATCAGATTTAAATCAGAGTCGAAGTAGTAAATTTCAGAAACGGGCAACTCACCATAGGATTCTCCGAATGTCCCAATTCGTTGGTATCAGAAATTCGCCATCCCTGAACTTGAGGCTCCCTGCATTACTGGACGACGAGATTTGGGACTTTCTGCAAGGGATGCACCTCGATTCGTCCATGCTCCGAACACCGAGAGTGTGAACGGCGTCAACGGCGTCAAGTCTGAGCATCTGGCGGCGTATTGGACTGCACAACTATTGCGCTGAGCAGACCTCAAGTACCATGCTGAGCTGCGCGGAGATTCCAATTACATGCAAATGGCTCTGAGAACGTTCTGTGACAAAAACCATGCCGAACGTGCATCAGAAGCCTTCTTTTGTGCACGTGGAAGCACGTGGACGTGTCGTTTCCAAAGGAACTAAACCTGTACAAGTCTGGACAATTGCTCCAGTATGCTCCAGTCATCATGGCGGCTGAAGACGCGCAGACATGATGTAAACTTTGTAAACACTCACCTTCACAATCTTCACAGAACAACATATCGAACATATGCAGGATTGATCTATGGAGTGATAGATCTTGGCCACAACATGGTCGAATAGAATCGAATATCTTTGACTCAAATTCTTGAAGTGTTGAAGAGATTTGAGGCATACGATGGCTCCATGTCTTGATGCAAAGGCGGAGCTTTTTTCAGGAAATCTAATTGATATGACGCTATTCGTCAGCCGTTGAAAGATCTACGGACGAGCTCTAGTTGTTTCACCATTTCCTGTCCCCAAGGGAAATCACTGAAATCACTAAGTCACTAGGTCGCTATACTGGTCTTATAGGGAGGATTTTCAGGGTGCCTACCCTGCACCACTCCCTTTCACTGTCACCTTGAAGCATCAGCTTAAGCTCCTGGGACCTTTCCGGTGGTTGGATCGGTTCCCAGATGACGCCGAAAAAGCAGGATATGAGGCTCGGGACGGTGGATCTCATAGTGAACCCATCCACGACTTTGTTCCACCCCCACGCCCCGCCATTCATCCTCTTGCATCAAACGTCCCATGCTATTGGTCAACCTCCACACTTTCTGTGCAGTGGCTTTGTTCAGGATCACATGACGGTACTCATATTTCTCATCCTGGTACTTGTCCGAATACTCGTTGTCATTCGGATAGCGGCTCATTTACCCAACAGCAACAGTCACAGGCCCGAAATTTCAGTGCGAGTCGATGAGCCACAATACTTCGGGAAGGTCACTTCTCAGAATATGCTCTCTGGTAAACCTACAAAAAAATATGGAAAATCACAATCTTTCAATGGAAAACTCAACTATTGCTATGTTAGTTTACCAGAGGGTAATGGACTATGGCATCCATGGCTTCTTCCATCCGACAAGTCATGAGACCTACTGCCAAGGTGCCCAAAGTCCCAATGAGAACGCAACTCCTGCCAGGAAGGCACCCTTCAGAAAAATGCTTGGAAAATGCCTCCAACTATCTCCAACTTCTGCCATATGGCCCAGAAAAATCTTCGCTATATCATGGCAATACAATTAACATCAATTAACACTAAACTATAGCTATAGCTCCAAGTTCCATCCACTTCAAACATCCACAACGAGATGTAGCTCGTGGCATGGCAACTTCAGTCCATCTCCTCTGGAACATATTTCAAGGCCGAAGGGTCCTTTTTAATTGCCTCGAAGGGGCGACAAACCCTTAGGATTGGACTTAGTGAAGTGTATATTGGAATTATGTTTAATGGCTACAACCCTCTAAGTTGATTGAATATGATTGACTGTGATTGTTTCATGTGAACTTGTTGTTAGCCATTCAACTTGACTTCCAGCCCTATTTTGGCAACTAGATGGAACTAGATGGAACTAACTTGATGGGAACGATCGATGGAATAAATTATGAATGAGATATTCCATGATATTCCCAACACTTCATAGATGATATATATTGATATATGATGATATAGCATCAGAAATTGGCTCTGACTACTGAAAAAAATCTCTGCTTTTTCTGTAGCACACACAGCACGTGATAAATTTAGATCTGAACCGATGACCTGAAGCAAGGTTTATGGTTGGATTGGTTGGTATAGGTATTAAACAACCAATCAGGTTCATGGATTCGATCAATCAACCCAGTTCAACAAAAAATCGATCGCATCCCCAACCAAGAAATCTGCGTTTACTGAACAAGCGACTCAATTCAACGCTTCAAATTTGCTACTCAAAATCATAATTAGAAAATCATTTACCCAGCTAAGCTGCTAGTCAACCACCCGACTTTCACCAATTCAACCAACTCAGAAACCAAAACAATTACCTCATCTTTACCCAACTAACGCAACTCAGCACCAAAATCCACCCAACTCTGGCCACTTAAAGCAACCCCAATCTACCCAGCGGTTAGATATCGCCTGCAAAAGCAAGGCCCGATCCCATCGAAGCTCTTCTCCTCACCAAGCCATATTAGAGTTCACACCAATACGTGGGGAGTTAAATAGAGGGGTTTACCCTCTGGTAATGACTAACATAGCTATGGAAAATGGCCAGTTATAGTGGATTTACCCATTGAAACTGGTGATGTTCCATAGTTATGTTAGTTTACCAGAGGGTAATCAATCAACAAAAATATGGGCATGACATGAGTTTCACCATCTCAAAAATCTGGGGATTCATCAAGCAATGGATGAGGCGCCTCAGAGAATTTATGGAGGTTCAAGCGCCATGTGTGATCTGGGGATGAACGAAGCATGTCATGCAAGCATGTGGCTTTGTCTCAATCATGGGAATCTGTTTATCCCAGTCTGTGGTATTCTTTGGGAAGATGATGATCCATATATGTTATCTGGGTTCCTTAAATTGTGTATATATATAATATATATCTGGGTAAATTATAATATTTCACTAACCTGAATAGTTGGGCCATTTGGGGATGATTCCCCTTACTAACCATGATTCCAGTGAGGGAGAACAGTGAGGTCGTTATAATTTACCCAGATCTTGTATAGGACTTCTCCAAGCTTTGGTGAAAAGGATTGAGGATCATCCACAGAAACTGCTGATATTCCGATGCCAAAAATCAAGGCCATATCAACCACCAAAACTGGATGATTCTCCGATAGTTAGTTTTTTTTTCCATGAAGTGATCAAGATTCAAAGCTCATCCCCCATATCCCCCTTTTTTAAGATATAACTGATATAACTCCACTCTCCCCTGGTAAATGTCCATCAGTTCCAACAAAGTCAGCCTGCATACTGCAGAGCAGCAGGATTTCGCTTCACTACAGGCTCCATCACCCTACGGTTGCATAACACCTGATGCCGAGACGCCAGGGTGACTGTGTCTTGGTGGATACCCCTGAAATCTACCATGCCATGGAACCGGGTCTGGAATGTGGAAGATGATTTCCCTCAACTCATCACTGGAAACCATGAAGATTCGCAACAAAATTTGGAAAGTTGAACCTCAGTATACTAAGTAGATTCGTCACTACACAATCAACAAAAACAAGTAAATATATGTAAATATTATCTCATCATCAATCATCAGCATATTCCAACTCTGATACACCGAGCTACATGTCCCTTCTAAGAGTTTCTATATGCTTGTAAGTGGTCCACTAGGATGTTATAGGTCAAAACCCCATGTACGAAACATCAAAAAATAGTTTTTAATCTTATGGACCATAATGGATGCTATGATTTTCCCGATGGTGCCATAGCTTTCAACCCATCCCCTTGACACCTTGGCACAAGTGACGAAGGCAAGTGCTGCAGCGTCTTTCAGGGCGGCCACTGCAACCACTTCCGCATCCGCGCGGAGCTCCTATGATGATAAAATGGGGATATGCCGATATGCCATGAACAATGGGGGGATTTACCATGAGTATCATGAGTTGCCCAACTTAAAGAATTTGGTTTCAAGCAGCCATCATGGAGACATGGCATAATGGGATATAAACTGATATAAACTATAAACAACCAAGAATATGGGGAAGATGAGATTGTCTCAAAAAAATGGATGGAATTGTGCGCCCAATTTGCATGGCAATTTTGACTGGGGAAAAATATGAAGTATTGAACCATGATGGTTCTGGGGTACCCAATTTTTGCAATTTTGAGACAACCCAGATCGCTGCTGGTGTCAAGCCATCGCACAGGCTGGATGTGTCAAGCAGTCAAGTCTGTTCACCATGTGAAGTAGGGATCTGTAAAGTTTTCGGAAAAAAAAACATGTCAAACGCACTCAACAAATCAAGGGGATGTGGTACCATGGAGGATTGCAACGGCAAACAGCCTCGTCCCGTGCAGTCCTCGGCTGCAAAGCGAAGAGCACGCGCTTGATTGGAAACTGCCGCCAGCACCTCGCGCTGGCGGTTCTTCCGGGGTGCTGGATGCAAGTTGTTCTCATCTTGTGCATGCAACTTGGCAAGAAAGATGCTCATGAACTCATCCCATCATCCCATCCCATTGAAGAGTTCCTAAACTGCAAGGGCTAGGATTACAGCTACCTAGGATTCCTGCCACTTCACGATCCGACTGAAGGTCCTGAGAATGAGAAACATTGGATGCAGAGTGGATCTGGTGTGGATCTGTGAATCAGCACAGGTGCAGCGGCCTCAACCTTTTCGGTCACGACGGGGCCCGTCGAGGGGCTAGTTTGTGCCTAATGGCTCCAAGTGAAAACCTGCAGGTAAAATACACATGGCAAAAAGGTGAATGATGTTCAGTCAATGCACTCTACTGGCAGCTGGTTTCACAGCTCCTTGGAAATTATAGTTGACTGAACTCTGTACGCACTCACCGCTTGTTATATCCATGTGTTCTACGGTCACTCAAACGTGCTCCAAGTGCCGATGACTCTTCCGTGATGCCAAAGACGCCCTCAGTCAGCAATCTTTTCAAAGTAGCCACTTTTCCAAGTCTTTTCGTCAGACAGTCAGCGGGCATTTCAAGGTGTTCGACCCACCTGATCTGTCCTTTCAACTCTGCAAGCTCTTCCCTAAGCACCTGGACGTCAAGTGCATTTCTACGGTCTGTGCCTCCCGTAGTTTCGTTCACCAAGAGGTCGTACAACGATTTTGCGTCAACCAACGCAAGTGCGTCCTTCACCTCCTCTGTCTCTTCAAACTTCGTGAATGCACTATAGCCTCTTCGCCCAATGTACTTTCGCCAGTCTCTCACCTGAAAATTTGCAGTCACCAGCTCTTCATACACAATCATCATCCACAACAAGTCTCCAACTCCTCTGGCAAGACTTTGTGTTTCTGCTGCAAGTGTGCTGTTTACGGTGCGCTGCAATTTTCCACTGCGCCAGTGCAAAACATTTGTGGTGGCTCGCTTTCCTTCAAGCAACGACTTGTCAAATGAAACCAAAAGATGTCCAGCCTGCGTCTTCCCATTCCTTGCATTGGCCCATGAGGCATCAGATATGACTCCCCACCGAAGCCTATCCTCAGGAATCGGTCGTATACGTAGTGCCAGGCTAGAGTCTGATTTCAGTTGCTCCACAGCCTTGTTCAGCTCCAGCACATCTTCAACCTTCATCGTGCTCATCAACGAACTGAACATTGAGGCTGACGCAGCTGCGTCCGGTCGGCCTTCTCGACCAATCCAGTTGAGCCCTCCACAAACACTCCTTACTTGGCTACGCTCTTCCTCTGTGAGCGTTTCTCCTCTCTGTTTCTTTCTCTCTGGCGTGAGCTTTACTGTGTGAAGCCTCTCCTCCACAAAGGCTTGCATGTCAATCAGAAAATCTTCGCCAACCTTCCTCAATCTTCGACCATTGAAATCGACGCCATTCTCGTCGATCTCTTTCAACTTGCCAAACGTAAACCTCTGCTGCAGCCTTTGAACCTTCTCATCATGCTTTGCAGTTCCGAACATCAGCAAATCATCTACTTCGACTGAGATAATTCCTTGAATCTCCTCTTGCCCAGTGACTTCGTCATAGTCAAAGTATAGGTACGCACAAGGATCCAGACTGGATTGTTTGTACCCCAAGTCATTCTGAATGAAATCAGTCAAAGTCATACGCCAGTTCAATGGGGCGTCTACAAGACCGTAGCACCCCAAAATGATCTCTGCTAATTGACCTTCTTCCAGACCTGGCATACTTCCATGGAATGATCTGCAGTATAGAGGTCCACCGCTTCGCACTAACGGCCTGCTCTGTGTAAAGGCTGACTTGAGGTCTCCCACTCGGCCTCGAAACTTCTTGTTGGCGGCAACCTGAAAAACGACCTGCAAATTTGAAGTGGTGACTGTAGGTGCAAATCGGGATAAAGACAGGATGTCAGGGTCTCGGTCTCCCCTGATGCAGAAACGGCTCTTTTTGATTCTGGCTGCTCCCGGACCCTCGCCGGGCTTATATCTCCTCACCATTCTGCTCGGAATCACCCTGTCTGTTTTGCCCTCTGCCTTCAGGCGTTCCCAAACTTGCTTTGACTCCTCAATGCTCAAAACTCGGAGTGCACCACTTTCTACAATCTTTTTGAATTCTTCTTCATCTTGCTTCCTCCACTCTGGCCATTCCGCTGCCGGGATCTCATGGGGAAATACTTCCCCTTCTCCTCTTTTCTTCTTTGCCCCTGTCGCCTGTTTCTCTGCGTTGGCCAGGTAATGGGCATCCACTTTGAATTCTGTGATCCCTTTCCACCATGCTATCCTCTCCTCTTTTGCTGTAAAAAGAGACCACTCATCCTCCACATGCTCCACCTTTCCTGTTGCATCTCTCCATTGTGTTCTGCGCCCTTTCTTCAATGCTCTCAAAGGCACTGGACAACCTTCTGTTTGTGCCGGGTTGAACAAAGCCTTCCTCCATCTCACGTGGTGTCTCTGGACCACATTTCTATGGGAGTCAAACACCCAATAGTCCTTTGTCGGCTCCTCTTCTTGCTCCTCTTGAGCCTCTTCACCTTGAAAGAAAACTTCAAACTCGCAAAAGTATGGCCTTGCAAAACTTCTTCTCCATTGCACGTCTTTCACTTGATCCCTCAAAGCATCAAACGACATCTCAGGCAATCCATCCAGACGCCTCATCTCTGCTGCAGATCGGACCATTTGCTGGGCCATCTCTTCCGTGAGCTCAGTTGGAGGAGGTTGAAAAGGAGTTGCAGCCGACGAGGCTGCTGCTGCTGGGGTTGACTCTCCTGGAGCTTCGCCATCAGGCTCTGCTACTGTCTGACGTGAGCCATGCCTGCCAGCTCTTTCTCTTTCTGTTGCAATCTCTTCTCCTGTTCTCTCTGTTTGCTCTTCTAACTCTGTCTCGCCATCAACTAGAGCTGGGCCGACTCCAGCATCCTCCAGTCGTGGCCTTGGTCTGCCTCTATCTTCTCCTTCTTCTTCTACTTCATCTCTCCTCTCTGGCTGTTCTCCTTCCAACTCCGGGAAAGGCTCATTGGTCACATCTCGGTATCCAGCACGATGTGAGCTCCGTTTCAAACGTTCTTGCATCTCCTCACACTCTTCAGAGATGACTTCGATGCCAAGCTTCTCTTCTGATGTGGCCGCCCGCACTTGTTCAATGGCCGCCCTCCATAATTCTCCCAGCATGTTGATCCACACCACCGAGCCTTCAGTGGCCAAAACCTGGCCAGGGCCAACCCACTTTGCTTTCAACGGGCTTGACCTCGCAGCTGCACCATGACGAAGAGCCTTCTTCCTACGCAAAGTGCGGTAGACATAGACCAAATCGCCACTCTTGTAATTCTCCTGGATACGTGGTCTCGCTCTCAAGGCTCGCGCTGCTGCTTCACGGCTGGAGAGTTTCATGAAGGCGTCTTGAGCCACTCGACGCATCTCAAGAGTCTTCTCAAATTCATCAGTGTGCCCTTGAGATTGAAGTGCTGGGTCAATGGCCTCATCACTCAGCAAACTGCTGGGCATCCGTGGCCAGTGTCCAATCTGCCTCTGTGTTGGACTGAAGCCTGATCTATTTGAGAATCTGTTCTTGGCTGCCTCACAAGCGTGCAACAGAGCACCTAGCTCCTCGCGTGATGTAGGCGGCATATCTTCTCGGCCTTTCTCCAGCATAGCTTTCATGAGGCCGCCATGCCGCTCAACTCGCCCTTGCTGCCATGGAGCTCGTGCCGCTGCTCTGAACACCACAACACCAGCTTCAGCGCACAGTCGAGAGAAGCCCCCTCGAAATTCTCTTCCTTCATCCACTGAAATGAATTGGGGCAGTCCAAAGGTTCGTGCCCAGACCTTCCACATGGTTTGCCACAAATGCATCGGTTCTTTGGATTCCAAAATCTCCACCATCTGATAGTTGGTGCCTAAGTCCACCAGATTCAGCACTGGCAATTGTCGATGGTTGTTTTCGTCGGGCACGTAGAAAACATCCAAACCAATGGCAACCCCTGGTTCATAGCACCTAGGGACAACAGCAGGCCTAGGAGCCTTTGGCAGGACTTGGCTCTCACACGTAGAGCAGGTGAATTCCTTTGCCACCCATCTCAAAATCTCTTGCCGTACTCTTCCTGCCCTCAAAAACCGCAAGAAGCTCGCTTTGTTGGGGTGACCTAGGTTCACATGCATCCTTTTGATTTTGACCCTGTCCTCTGCTGTCACTGCTGCTTCAATGTCTGCTGGAGCTGCGATTTCCAACTCTCCTCGTTCAGCCTCTTCTGCCTCTTCTTCATCCTCTTTGTCGGCCTCGTCAAAATCTTCAGCATCATCATCAAATGCTAGCACTGTGATCTCGCTCTCACAGGGCTTGGATTGAAGCCTTTGTTTTCTCAGATGCCGTCTAAGACCTCTGACAATCGCCTGGCAAAGTGCCGGCGGGTATTCTGCTGCCTTGGACGCATAGCCACCCATCAAGGCGTCATGTTGATGTTCGCCATTGCACACCAATTGAAGTTCCGCTGCAATCTCGGGTGAGTTGGTGATCATAGTTGTGGGCTTCTTGTTCAGCTCTTTGCCCACACGCATGCCGTAACGGCACATGTCAAAATGACATACGTGCACTCCAGGAAGATTCTTCAAAGCTTCCATTTCTGGTTCCTCCCAGGCCTTGGAGGGTCTAGGGTGTTCAAACAGGAAAAGCCGATCCTGCTCATACTGCCTTTTGCACACCTGTGCCGAAGTTCTCACATGCTGAAGGCCTTCACCAACGATGTTCATAACCCTGGCGAAACTCATCTTGGGAAAATTGAGCCTCTGCAAAGGACTAAATGGCCCACATGGTGGGCTGCAAGTCACAAGCTCCGGCTGTTCTTCAGCCAAGGCTTTTCTCATCCTCCGTAGGTCTCGGCTGCATCTGAGATCATATCCTGTCAGGATATCATAGGCTCCACCGACTTTGAGCTTTTGTCTGCTTGCCTCTGCTGTAATGCGAGGTCTGCTGAAGATCTCGCTGACGTCTACTTGGAAGCTTTCTTCTACGCCCTTCTCTCGGTTCAGTCTTTCTGCTGCTCGCAGCTTCGTTTTAAGCTTCTTTGGAAGAGCTGTTTCTTCAATCTCCTCAAGCTCCTCTTCCAAACTTTGTTTCCGCGATCTCTGAATCCTCATCAAGCACTCGGTGTCTTCTTCTGTCAACTCCTCCACTTTGACCTGACTCATGCCTTCTCCTATCTCCACAAACACCTGGCTCACTTCAAAGACTCCTTGTTGCTGCATCTTCTCAACCTGTGACGCTATTCCTCCAGGCCTCTTCAATCGAACCCATGTTTCCTCGGCTTTGCTGCTGAGCTCCTCGTCTTGCTTGATGACCTGTTCTTCACTCTGGTTCTCGTCGCTGAACCTGACCGTGGGGATGTTCCCACCATCGCTTCGTCCCACTCCGCATCGCTGGAGATTGACGTTGCTGCTGCACTCTGATTTGCTCTTTGGATCTCCTCCTGCAAAGCTTCCAACTGCTGCACCTCTTTCTGAGCTTCCCATCTCTTCTTGGCATACTCGTACATCTCCGAGTCGTGGTAGCCCTTGTGTTCGGCATATTTTGTGCCCATCGCCATTGAGGCGTACTCGCTCATCATGACTTCTCGAATCTCCAACGCCTCCTTCATCTGATTCATCTCGGCAGCCTGTCTCCTCTGATCTGCATCCACCTGTTGCTGAATCTCCTCCGTCCATTGCGCCATCAGTGCCTTCTGCTCCTCCGATCTTTGCTTCTGATGACCCTCGCTGAGTTTCAACCTGCTGCATTCCTCCTTCAGAGACCTCACCACCTTCTGCATCTCTGCTTCTTTGCTGGGTGTCCTTTCTGCTGAAGAACTGGGCTTCTCCTTCTTCTTTGACTTGCTGGGGCTCACCATCGGCGCCGGCATCTTCCATCTGCTGTAACAGTCCATGCATGACACCCATGCTGACCATTGGTTTGAGCCCCGCATCAAGCGATTTGCCGCATGTTCGCACTCCTCCTCCTTCTTCACTGCAGCTACTTTCGACTTGAGAGGAGGCAGCTTCTCGGCATGCACGATGTGCGCGGCCAGATGCTCTGAAGACCACGTGCGAGAGGTCTCTTCCTCTTGTCCAGGAGGAAGCCATGATTGCACCGATTCCTCTGACCCAAGATGGCGTTGAACCAATATCAACTTGTCCAACACCAGTCTCCAGTGCTTGATGGCCCTCTTCGAATTTGTTGGCTGCCCATGACTCTCGGCGCTGATTGCAGGAGCGGCCGATGAACGCTGCAGGCGCTTGCGCAGCGCAGCGATGGAAGTCAAGGCCATGGGCAGTCTTTGACAAGGACGTGCTGTTTGAAAGCATCACCTCGCTTGGTCTGGGCATTGGGCCAACAGGGTTTCGAAAATCGCTTTCCTGAAATGGTGTTTCTGCTGACTGCTCAAATTGAAAACCCTTCTCACCAAAATCCACTATTTCGATGGCCACATGTCCACTTGGCAAAACACTCAAAGGCAAAGTGCGACTCAAACTCGAAAAGTGAATGCAAAGAGCTGGAAGATCTATGATTGCTCCAAGTTGTCTCAACATGCGAATAGGCAAAAGAAGAGGAACCTCACCTTCCACAACTGTAGCCTCTAGCACACCTGACTTTCCACCAATGCCAACAGGAATTGCTACGATTCCAATCACTTTAGCTGCCCCTCCAACTCCATGCGCTCTTGCTTTCCTACCAGTCCAGGCAACCTTCAACCCAACTTCCGCCAGCTGAACTTTTAATCGCTCCAATGCTTGTTGGCCGATCAGACCGTCTTGGGCAGCGGTGTCAACCACTGCATTGGCTGGATTGGTCATCAGCCCGATGAAGAAAGATGCACTCCGGGACAAATTGTCTCGTGGCTCAAATTGCTGACAGGGACCTATTGGCCTAGCTGAAAAATCTACGGGGCCACTCAGATTCATTTCAGTCCCCGCTTCCATCTCCTGTGAACCCAACAATTGACTCTGGTAAGAATCCCCTTGGTTCACATTTCGTGCAATACCCCTACACGAAAAACCAAAACAACTACAAACTTGGTTCAAGGTGCTGTTGCCTTCGCCCACAGCCACATACCAACTCTGCTGGCTTGGAGCACTGCTAGCTTTGGAGCTTGCCGTAGATGCCTGAGCCAATGAACGTTGTTGCCCACGCTGATCAGGAGCATTTGTGCACTCCTTAGCCCAGTGTCCTATCAAGCCGCATCGCCCGCAACGAGTCCGCAGCTTCAGCTCCTCGATATGGATCTTGCGGCGGCCTGCAAATTTGCCGCCAGACTTCCCCGGCGGACCCCGTCCTTTGCCACCGCCAAAATACTGGCGATTCTTCTGTTGCACATTGATTGCACGCCGCACCTCTTGGTACGTAGCCAAAGCCAACTGAGCTTCGTCTTCCTCATAGATCTTATCCAAGTCCCCTTCTTCGACCAGGATATACTGCTCCTCGTCACCAGTAGCTTCATCCGCTTCCTGCATGAAAGGCTCCGTCACTGGAAACTCCTCGGCTACCTCGGCAACGCCCTCTTGAAGAAAACCTCCAGAAGACTTGATAGGAATCACAGTGTCAAGCCTCCGCAGACTGGACACCACTGTCTTCCAGTCAAACTGACCTTTGCTCCATGTGCTGAACTTCAGGTCCTGTGCCTCAGTAAGTGAAGCCTGTCGATACGCTACATAGCCCTTCGCAGTCTCATCCAGATTCAAGCCTTCCTTAGACAAGAGAAAGAAGGCTCTTTCCACTCGAATGAGATATTCTTGAATTGATTCTTTGCTTCCTCTAGGCTGGCCGTAAACGGCTCTCTCAAAGGCCCTTGGGAGACTCAGTTCAAGATGAGGGGCAAAGTGACTCCTCAAAGTGGACAGAAGATTTTCTGCCCCTTTTTCACATGCAATCTCATCGAACTCCAAGCTGTCTGCCACGGCTCGCGCCACACCAGTGAGGTTCCTAAGTAACCTCACTCCACGCTTCTTGGGGTCGACCTCAGTCTCGAATTGCCACAACTTCACGTTCTTCTCGTAAATTGGCAGCTGCACTGCCGGGTCAAGTCCGTCCCAAAACGGAGCTGGAGGTTCGCGCCCTCCAAAGTTGGAGCTCTCTCCTGAAGCCATCACAGGCTCCGCATACCACTGTGAATCAACACAGGTGCAGCGGCCTCAACCTTTTCGGTCACGACGGGGCCCGTCGAGGGGCTAGTTTGTGCCTAATGGCTCCAAGTGAAAACCTGCAGGTAAAATACACATGGCAAAAAGGTGAATGATGTTCAGTCAATGCACTCTACTGGCAGCTGGTTTCACAGGATCCTATATTTCTATTTTAGTATGTTTATTTTGCCACCAAAAGTTTGGATCATCATTCTATTTCATCTAATATAAACATACTTTCTAGACAATGATCATGAATGGATCTGCTGTGGATCACTAATCTAAGTTTAGAATAGTTTCTATCATTTTATAATATTTTATATCATGGTCCGAGGTTTCTTACGGTAGATCTCACTATGGATGATCATCCAGCGCGGCTCCTGCGAGGCATGTTCCAGTGCGGCTCCGTGGCACTTCACGGCCAGTAGGACCAGGTCCTCCGACACTGGGATTCTCCAAGTTTTTGGGGGTCAATCGTCAAGATATGTCAAGATACCAAGAAAAAAAGTGAAGCCCCACAAATTCATCTGTCGATGATAACATATCATAGCTATATACAGATATAATGCTATATATAATTATATTTTATATACTATTAAAGATATGCAAGTAAGTATTATCGTAATAAATTATGTCAAAAGGGGTACCCCCATTGACTTGAACCCTTAAGACTACTGTAACCAAGCCACCCCATCAACAGTTTCCCCACATCAAAAGGAAGTACAGTATGTCAGTATGTCACATCTTTCGGGATCCGTTGGTCAAGGAAATGCAGACCAAGAATCACCAGGGTAGCACCAGGGGAAGAAAGGGCCCGGGAAGGAAACATCCACTTCTCAACCGGGCCAACGGCGGCCAACCCCCGGAGACTACTCCCTGACTATGAATTGGGGGGGGTTACCCCCAGAATAGTTGTCTAAATTCCTACTTAAATGGGTACGGGTTCAAATCATCTTCCATATACCCATATAATTAGTCACAATAGCGTCACAATAGCATGTAAGGTGAGGCCCCCCCAGTGATGAGTTGGTTTGATTGCCAATAGATCCAATAGTTACATCCTCATTAAACAATAGTTAACCAAGTCCTAAGTCGACTTGGCAGACTAAGCTATACTTTGGGAAAGCCTGACCTTGTCAACAGCTACAGTACAGTGCTACAGTTGCTGCACCTTCTCCGCCTTCAAACTCTCAGATGCATAGGCCAGAGCTGCACCCGTTTGCTGCACCTGGAAAAACGGAGCTGAAATGTGAAGCTTCCTGCATTTTCCCAATGAATTTGAGGATCTCACCATGCTGAACATCGCAACTTGCAGCATTTTGCCATGTTTCTGGAAAAGCAGGCTTTGAAAAAAGAAGGACCTGTCCAAATAATTACCTTCATACGATTGAACATAAGGGAGAAGAATCATTTTGATCTCACTTGGGATGTGGCAAACAAAACATGTCAAAGATTGTCAAAGCTGTTTCCGTGGAGTAGACGATTTGAACACGTTGCTTCGGATTTCTCCGCATTTCTGGGGTCATGACAGCTGCCAGCACCACTTGGCGGTCGTCACGCAGGTTGTGGGATGCGAACTTCAGCGAAAAGCCGTGTCTTGAAACCACCTGCCAGGTGAGGCCCGTTGACGAAATCGCTGAGTTGACCATAACTTGGATAGCTATTAGATCTAACTCATTAATGGGTGGTAAATTTAAATTTTAACAATGATTAAAAGACAACTTGGAACTGCGGGGCCTCGCATTGTCAATATGGGAACACAAAAGGAATAATTGCAGTTTAAGAATGTTTAAGATAAGCTGCGATCCAAGTAGCATTTTGAAGAAATCGAGATGAATTGGAAAATGAGCGGAAGATGTATGACAGCAAAACCCAATATCACATGCGATGTATGACAGCAAACCTTGCATCCGAAACTCGTCGGAGATACTGCCAAAGCAATCTCCTGGTTGTCCCGAATGTGCTCCGGGGCAGATCGAAAGAGATCCTGAACTTTGACTCTCCGTGTCAAAGCCATGACAACATGCAAACGTGAAGTGCAAAAAAAGAATCTGTGTTTTTCTTTCAACATGTCGACTTCACACTTGAATTAAGTTATAACTCCAACTGTTTTATGTCAAAATCAAAATCATCTCATTTTTCGCAACAAAACCAATCCAATGATCCACTCAAAAGTTGAACAAACCCACATACGTTCGAGAAGTCCGGGGTGATCCGCGTTTCGTTGTTTGGGTTTGTCTGGAAAATCGCCGGTCAACAAAAAACTCACATCTTCCCATCAAAAATTTGCCATCGATCAGGGTCCCAGTTTCAGAGCCAAGAATCTGACCTAAGTTGGTGAAATCATGTGAAATATCATGAAATATCTATCTTTAGATTCTCCCCATAAAGTCAATATTACTGTACCCATCCATAATAAATATATAAATAAATATACTGGTTGGTGGTTGACCTACCCCCCTGAAAAATATGAGTTCGTCAGATTGGATCATCATCCCAACCATTGGGGAAAATAAAATTCATGTTCCAAACCACCAAGCAGTTTATTGTTTTACCCATGAACCAATCCAATGAATCCCCTTGGTGAAGTGGCCTGCGGGAACTCCGCAGCCTTGATCTTCTGCAGCCAGTCACCAATCTCGGGATTGCGCACGAGCAAGCTCAAGTGCACTTCCTCACCAAGAGTACCTTAGAAAACGAATGTTCACATGGGGATGTTCATAGCTTAAGAATGCCTTAGAGATACATTTCAGATACATTTCAGATTCATTTCATAAAACATCATCGAGGTCCAAACTCAGCAGATCCGTTTCCTGGCAGAAAATCCACCATTTTGCTGGACGAATCTATAGATCTTAGATTGGATGATTGTCCCAGCAAAATAATCAAAATAAACCTCCATGGCTAAAGGATTGTCCACGGTTGATGACACCAGAAGCTATCTGAAACATGCAGCATCAAGCAGTTTTGCGACGAAGTCGGCACGGCGAGTCAGCAACAGTCAGCCTTTTCACCCCCCTGCGCTTGAAATCTCCGTTCTGCTTGCCATTCCAAGCCTACTGAATGAGGGACGCAAAATTGCTTCCGCCCAGGCTCATCATTGCCGTGTCCATTTCGCTTTGCAAACACAAGACCTGTCCATTCCAGATAAAAGAGCGATGGATTGATCATGAGATGATTTGAAATATTTGAAACAATCTGGACATGGTAAATAATATATGTAAAATCATGTAAATATGAGCCGTCATGTATCATGTTCTGTCATGGTGAGCTGGTACATGCTGGTATGCATTTCACATTCTTTCATATGATCTTCGCTTTCCAGTGCCGGCAATGGCTGGGCACGCCGGGAACAGTCCGGTCTCTAGACTTGCAAGGTGGGTTTCGAAGAACCCTCAGAGATAGGAAAGGGCGAAGGCACGGATTGCTGCGAAAGTGGCAACATGGCCTGCATGATGAGAGCATCCCAACTCCCATCCTTTGCCTCGGCCTCGTTCTGATAAGGCCCTTGCATGTTGCCCATGTTGCCCCACCACGGTGAAGCGTTGCTGTAGCTGTTGGACCACTCTGACCAAGCTGCCTCATGGGCGCCTCCCAGGCCCATCCCCAGCTCCTCCTTGTCCTCGTTGCCATAGACGAAGACCTCGATGTATCGGCCTCCAACGTACTGATGATTCAATGCTTTCTGTGCGACGTCGGCATCCCTTCGGCTTCGCATCTGAACCACGGCCTGCCCTGAGGGCCTGCCATTCGCTTTGGGCAGCAACTTGGCCGAATTGGGTCCGTCATGGATGGTATCTGCCACATTGTGCTGGGCGAAGAAGGTCAGGACGTCCTGCACGGTGACGCTGAAAGGCAAACCTCTCAGACGAAGTGCAGCCACACCGCTCTTGTCCACCTCAACACTTGCATCCTTCAGCTCTTGGCTGGACTCTTCTGCAAAGGGATGACTCTGGGGATGCAAATGGGCATGGCTTCTGGAGATCGCACTGTTAGCCTCAGCACCTGGAGGTTTGTTGATCTTCTTCTTGGAACTCACTGCATTGCTTCCATTCTCCATCCATGGCATCCACTGTGGCTGCCAAGGCGGAAAGCTATAGGGCGGCCAAGTGCCCGGGAACTGGAAGTCCATCCCCATGGATCCAGAGTTCACCTGTGGAGTGCCCCAATCACTCGGTGTTGCGATAAAGTGACTTCCAGATGGTGGTGCCCGGGTCGGTGACATCAGCCTGGTATCAGGCGTTGAAGGTTCCTCTTCAGGCACCGTCCGAGGATGAGGAGCAGGATGAGGAGCAGCATTTTCTTGAAGGTTGTAACACAAACCATCGGGATTTTGCCAAATGACCTTCTCACATCCCTTTGGCCCTTCAACCCGGAATTCGTTTGGGAAGCGAGCCAAGAAATGCTTCAGCCCCAGATTGGCACGGCGCAAGTAGTTGCGTGCTGGATCTGTCAGGGCTATTCCAAGCATGCTGAGCAAAGTTTGTTGCCGACCTGGTGCGCTCAAATGATCTCGACATTCACTCAAGACTCTTTCCTTCTCTGCTTGCTCAGTGGCTGCATCAAGTGGTGTCTGTTGCACTTGTTCCTTCTCCTCGACATTCGCTCCCCCAGCCTTATTCTTCCGGCCCCTCGAACGATCGGAGGCCAAGACCTCTACATAGCGGTCTCCCATCTGCTTCCTGTGCAAGGCATCTTTGCATTTGTGAGCAGCCTGTGGACTCACAAAGAAGACGCGAGCAAAGCCTGAGGGCCTCCCATCCCGATTGGAGAGAAGGCAAATGTTGGGTTTCTTCTCAGGATTCAGGTAGTTCACATGGTCTCCAAGGAAGCCCTTGACATCCTCCACGCTCGCTCTAAATGGGAGCCCCCTCAATTGCACGGAGCTGGGGTTGGAATTGTCATCGTCCCCCACAATTGCATTGCCATTGTCCTTGCTGATGTTCATAGTCTGTTGGGCCATGCCCATGCCATAGCCATAGCCATTCATCATCTTCTCATCCGTCATGCCCATCACAGGGCCCGGAGGTGCCGGCCAGCCATGGGGCATCTGTGGCCAGCTGGGCATCCCATGCACCGGGGCCGGCATGGGCGGCACCGGCGGAGGCGGCGCTTGCTGGGCCGGTGGCGGCGGCTTGTCGTTGGGACTGGGGGGACCAGCCTTGGCTAAGGCCAACACCACCTTCTCCTCGCCCTTGGGCCCAGTAAGCTGGATGATCTGTGGATAGCGCTGCAGCCAATTGCGGGTGACATCAATGCTCCCAGCCAGGTGGGCCAGGTGGGCAGGCAGCTTCTCATGTAGCTCGGTCAGGGGGAGGCCCTGACTCTGATAAGGCCCCAAGATTTGAAGTAGATCGGCCAAGATGGAAATGTCACTTGGCACTGCGGTCTCGCCGGCATCCCCATCATCGCGGTCGTCCATTGCTTGCCCCTGCAATGGTCTAAACCCTCCCTTTTTGGAAGCACCCACCCCGAAAAAAACAAGAATGTCAATCACAATTTCCTCTGATTTCTGGAACCCACCTGCTGCGTTCTGAGGGTTGTTCGGAAAAAACAACATAGAGCCGTGTTGCTTGAACCAGCTGCGGATTCAAGGGTAGAATCAAGCTCCAGCTCCAGGGCAGTGCAACTCAAGCAACACAACTGGCACTGCAGGGATCAGCCACTAGTGTTTTCTCAGGGCATCAACTCACTGCCTTCAACTCTTGGTCGCCCAAAATTAATCGTTGGTCTCGTCGAGGCCTATCCAGTTGGGTCACATTTGAGGTACCCGAGATATCATATATGGATGGACATATGGACTGTAACACCTTGTTTTCCCCATATTTGGTGGCCATATGTGGCCATATGTGGCCATAATGCGGTAGCCATCAATTTTCATGGACATTGATGGACATGCAGGCGTGAAGTCTGAGAGTGCTGCACACCAGATGTGTCCTGGCAACGGGTACAGCTTGGCATGGCATTCAACAACGTCTCGTGTTTTTTGCGATGGCATGTGATGGGTCAGTCAAAATATTTAAAAAAAAACATGGTGGTCCGCGTGAAAGCCACAGATTCGATGCAATTTTTAGTGGTAAGCCATGGTATGAAAAAGGGTAAACCATAAACCATCCATGTTTGCCGCCCTTTCCACCTCCAAGGCTTTCATCACATCCAACACGCTCCAGCCTAAGCCCGGCCGTGATTTGCCAGAACTTGGGGGATCTCCCCCATGTTCAGGCACAAAGATGTCAATAGATGTCAATAGATGTCAATAGATGTCAATAGATGTCAATAGATGTCAATAGATATCATAGTAAGTTGCTTCTATATCCCGTAATTCATCACAATTCTACATAACTTACATTCATTTACTATAGTTCTATATCATTCTATATCCCAAAATGGCATAGATTCCATAGAAATCTCCCCCCTTTTCGTGGCGAATGTTCCCGTCCTCCCATGCCGTCGCTGCCACGGAACCCTGCTGGCCATCGACCACCCAAGATTTGCCACTGAGGCTGTAGACAACTGCCTCCCAGTGGATCGCCACATTTTGGCTTCGAAAAGTTGGTGACTGATGTTGGGTGACTGATTTTGGGTGACTTTTTGGTGGTGTTTTGGGGCTGTGAAAAACATCATTGGCCCCAAAAAAGTCACCAAAAATATGCAAAAATCATTCTGACATGACCAAAAATATGCAAACTTCTAATTAAATTTGGTGACTTATGACCAAAAATATCACCAAAAATATCTCAAAATCATTCTGACATGACCCAAAAAAGTTATTAAATGTGGTGATAAATAAGGTTATATTTTTACATGGTCGGAAATCAATGATACATCAATCAACAGATTTTGCCAGTTGTAGCTGGTCAGTCTTTAACCCTGTATTCAAGAGGGTACCCCCATAATCATCGAAAATCCACAGAATCAAACAGATTGCAGCTTCTCCCTGTCTGATTTGTTGCATGAATTTCAATGTTGTCCCTGTTCGGTCTGTTCTCATTGGCAGGTCACCAGATTGGATTCAGGTGCTAAAGGAACTCTTCAGACCATGCTGGTGGCAATCCATTCAACTTTACCGCCCAACCTTCAACGCCATTAGGAAGGGCTTCAACAAGTTGTCAGTACCTTGGAGGACTTTTGGATCCCACTTTTTCCCAAAGATTCCATTAGTGATGAAAATCAAAGAGTCAGAGAATCTGAGATCTTCATACTTCTTTGTGGAAATTGGATGAAATTGACATATATTGACAAAAGATGACATAGGTAAATTATAGGTATACAATGGTATACATAAGTTACATAATATAAGTCGTCATAAGTCATTTTAAGTCATAAGTCATGCCACAAAAACGAGATCTTGCTGCTCCACAACTGAGTTTTCCACCTTGGATGGGACAGCGCGGGCATGGGACGCGGGGATCCTTTGAGACCTTCTCTGCAGGAAACCCTGAAGAAATCCCACATCATCCAACGGTTTCCAACGGTTTCCCAAGGGTTTTTCCCATGCATTCCTGTTGATTTTCACGGTTTTTCATGTTGTTTCTTCAAAAAACCATCGTTGCAAAACTTGCTATGTGTTGCCCTTCTCGGCCGAGTTTTTTGCTGCTATGTGTTGCCCTCCTGCGCAGCGAGACGATCGCAGAAACTGCGATTCGTGGAGCTCAAAAAGATCGAAGGGATCGCGGCTCAGTTAAAGAAGTAGCTGGAGAACAGCACCTGGGTTCAAACAACGTGACGGCCTGGTGACGGCGTTCACAAAAAATCGTTCAAGAATCGAAAATCAAAGACTCTCAGCGATTCCAGATTTCGAAAGCTCGGATGTCTGAAAAGCGATACTCTCATGACTTCTACACACTAAGACCAAAGCCGAGAGGATGCAAATCAACAGCAAGCCCCAGTACAAGGAGGTTCGGTTCAGCTCGACCTCGCCAAAACGCCTACGGCCTACGAAATCTTTCAACAGCCTGACCTTTCTTTCTTGGCGAATGCAGCATGATTACAATGCCAATCCAACCTTGCGGCAGCATAAGCAACCAATATACACTGCCATATAGGCTTGAGATTCTTGCTGGCAGCATGGCATCGTTGGGGCGTGGCTCAGGCAGAGCCTGCGGCAACCCGAATGAATCTCAAACAAACATGTTTTCCAAACCAAGATTCCTCGCATCATCCTCACATCAGATGTCACATGAGGCAAATCTTATCACCTTGCCCGGCTTGCCCCTGGTTTTCTATAATTTTCATCAATTTTCCTCATGCTCTATACAGGAATGCACCAAAGTAGACTGCTCAAGACTGACTCTTTACCAATGGGCTGGCCTTCAACACCACCGGGGAGTCAACTGCGGAGATCTCCACAGTGTTGCCAGTGAAGGCACCCTGAAAGGTCACATCAGGTCACATCAGGTCACAAAATGAAAGAATGACGCAGACGGATAGCCAAAAAGTCCGAAGCAAACATTCCGTGCAGCATGACCACAATCATCCACAATCGCTGCTCGAGAAGGAGTGAAGAAGAATCACCTGCCCCTGCAATGACCCTGTCACTCTCTCACTCACAACATGTACAGACCCAGAAAGGCCTGGCCACGCAGGGCAGGGGTCTGGACAACGAAGACCTTCCGTGTTTCGAAAGTGAAAAGGTCACAACCTATGAAAAGCGCAGCCAACATGTCCCAAGTTCCTACAGTTCAGTACATCCTTCGCAAATCCGTCCAATGCGCTGAAAGTGCACCAATTCAGCACAAATCCGAATTCTTCTTGCCATGTCTTCACCTCCTGCTCAGGGCTGGAGATGCTTGAGGAGAAGAGCCAAACGCAGGCCTCAGGAGACATCGGACCCATCACGAGGCGGGCAGCAGGGCACTTCTGCCCCCGAACTTCACTGGGACTTTTGACATCTCGCGAGATTTCTGGAACCCTCAAAGATCTCTGGAAATGGCAGCGTGTTCACTCCAAACTTCGACTTGGAAATGTGGGTCTGGGAGAGAGACGGCGGCGGCCAGAACGAAGAGTGTGGGACGACGGGCCATTTCTGAAGGGGACAAGCCTGGCACATGGGGAGAATTTTGGAAGTCGAAGCTGCAGAAAACGACAGCTCCGGCGCTATCAGAATCCGAGACTCTGACTCTCAAACTCGATGCGTTCACGTGTCTCTCAGCTCTCTTGAACCAAAAATGAAAACAGTCAGCAGCTCCCATAAGCTCCCATAAGCTCCCACTTCCCCGTCCAGACGCCAGTGCCATAGACTAAGCATGATTCAGCTGTGTTTTGGGCAATACAAAGGTGAAGTGGCAATCCAAAGTGAGCAAAAAAGTTTTGGAGCCATCTTGCAAAAAAATATCTGCCAATCTCGCCAACGTTTTCACAAAGCCCTCTTCAAAGTACACATATTTGATGGGCTTGAAGGGGTTCAGACTTGCCTCAAGATTCAGATCGCCAAGTGGCTGGAATGCAAGATCGAAATTGCTTCCTTTCAGATCTTTCTGCATAGAATTGATATGAATTGATATAATCAGAATCAGTGATTGTCATGTTTGTGTGTCACCGAGGGACAGCCCGTGCAAGCATTTTTCACCATTTTTCTTACACATTTTATGTCGGCACCTCTATCTTGGACGCTCATGTCATCTCGCGCCACTCATCGAAAGTATGGTGATACGGAACAGTGGTGGATTCCTTAACATTGCCTGTTATATTGTACAGTGGACGTCTAGCCATATCCTCCCATCCTTCAGTCGTTAGCTTCCGGAGCGTCAGCTCCCTGTATCTCTTTTCCCAGGGCTTGTTCCACATGATTTTGGCTGGGTTTCGAAGAGTGCTGTTGCAATCAAGTGCGTAGTAGATTTCACAGTACACATCGTCCCTGGTTGGGCCGTTGGCACAGGGCGCGGCCTTGCCTAAGCCCTTGACACAGCCACGCGACCACGTGTCTCCTTCGAGAGGGCACGCTTTGCCAAAGGGATTTGTGTAGACATGCCACGTCGCTGGCCGGTAACAGCAGCATTTTCCAGTGCGAAGCTCATCGGACTGCCCTTGATTCGCTCGAAGGCCCCACCCAAACTGCAACGACACAAACACCAAGAAGGCGCTGCACATGGCCATCGCCATCGTGGTTCAGAAGACTCAGATTTGACAGATGTGACAGAATACAGGCGTCTTTGAGGAAATGCGGCTCGTGAATGCAAGCTCAAGTCATATGTCAGTGGCCCAAAAATCATCCTATCTGGGGCCGAAGAGTCAAAAGGACTTCACGCGACTCATCCAAGTTCAAATGAAAGTTGTCTTCATGCAAGCTTGACCCGTATAAATCATATAGTGGCATAGTGATTCAACATGATTCAAGTGTTTCCTTTTCATGTTCGGAAAATCGGAAAACGGGACCGTCGCCTGCCTAACCAGCAAAGGACAATCCGAAGTGGGTAAGAAAAGTGTTAAGGTTAAAGCCATCTTTCAAAAAAACATGTTTCCCAATGTCTGCCAATCTCGCCGACATTTTCACAAAGCCCTCTTCAAAGTACACATCTTTGATGCGTGGCATTGCGCAGCAACGCCTGCTTCTCGATCATGCACTGGGACACGCTCAATCCCACAGTTGGAGCAATGTCCCAATCGAATTTAGGATTCTCCATGGATTTTCAATGGAAATTCGGATCTTCCATGGATTTGCACCAAGTCTTTGGTGCCGTTTTTGATAATTGTACTTTGTGGCAAGTCATATACAACAGCCACCTTCGAATTCGTCTTGGCAATTGCTCAAGCCCGGATCAATCGTTTGGCGTCCAAATGTTCGGTCGACATCGACATCACTAGACATCCTCCATCACACAGCTGCTCGGAGGCTCCAGCTGAGGTGAATCATGCTGCTCAGACCTTGCTGGAGTCGACTGGGGTCGAGCTGGAAGTCGTTCCTTCCGGCTATCGACCTGAATCATGACACGAATCCAACGCCCAGCAATGGCCAGCAACATTCGGAAATGGATGGAAATGGAAGGTTTGAACATGTTTGAAGGTTAAGAATGAGGAAAACATAGGAAAAACATAGGAAAACAGAGACCATGGTTTCCCTATATGCTTTCCCTATATGGTTTCCCTACATCCAAACCGTAACGATTTTGGATGCTATGGGATGCCCAAACGGCTCATCGACCAGGTTGGACCAGGTCGCTGCAACGCATTGGATGAATGTCCTCTGGATCGAGCACCAGGATGGTAAGGTAAATGCGGGAAGCAGCCGCGAGTCAGTGGGCTCAGTGGGCTCAGTGGGCTCAGTGGGCTCCAGATTCTCCTGAAAAATCTGGAGATATCTGGATGCTCCATGGTGCTGATATATGCACACCAACATTTGCCCGAACAAAATCACCCAGTCATGTAGGTAAAATATACCAGCACCATGGAGCATCTGGGTATATCTTGATCATCTTGGCTATGGCTCAAAGATTTTGATGATATCTGATGATATCATATCTGATGATATCTGATGATATCATATCTGATGATATCTGATGATATCATATCTGATGATATCTGATGATATCTGATGATATCTGATACTGTGCCACATAAGGGGGGGATGCTTTGAGTTGGTTTAGCAAAATATATTGACCCATCAGTTGGATGTGGCCATCGGTACATCAGGCTGGGCCATGTGGTCATGTCGCATGCTATAGCCGCGCCTCTTCATCCAGCTCTACCGGCTCTACGTTCCGAGAACCATCCGAAGGAAAATGGATGCCGTGCAGCAAAGCCTTTGCACGGGGGACAGCTTGGATCGGGACTGTCTCCCTCTGAGTCCGCTCAGGATACTGTGGAGCAAAATCAGATGCTGGGTCTGACGGTGATGTCTCCCCCAGATCTTTCTTGCCCCCGTCCGCTGACCCGCGGTTGGTTGACACAGTCTGCAAGTCAACAGCACCTGAGGTGTTTGACTCCTCTTGCAATTGTGGACGTGAAGAGTGCTGTCCAGCGTTTGCAACTGATGCTGCGCTTGGCTGTGTCTCTTCTCCTGCTTTCTTGTTGGTCTTCGCTCTGCAATTCTGTGACGCCTCATGTGCATCAACCACACCTGAGGTGTTTGACTCTTTCGGATCCTCTTGCAATTTTGGGCACGAAGAGTGCTGTCCAGCGTCCGCAACTGATGCTGTGCTTGGCGGTGTCTCTTCTCCTCCTTTCTTGTTGGTCTTCCCTCTGCGATTCTTTGACACTGTCTGCACGTCAGCAACACCTGATGTTTTTGACTCTTTCGGATCCTCTTGCAATCTTGGGCGTGAAGAGTGCTGTCCAGCGTCCGCAACTGATGCTGTGCTTGCCGGTGTCTCTTCTCCTCCTTTCTTGTTGGTCTTCGCTCTGCAATTCTGTGACGCCTCATGTGCATCAACCACACCTGAGGTGTTTGACTCTTTCGGATCCTCTTGCAATTTTGGGCACGAAGAGTGCTGTCCAGCGTCCGCAACTGATGCTGTGCTTGGCGGTGTCTCTTCTCCTCCTTTCTTGTTGGTCTTCCCTCTGCGATTCTTTGACACTGTCTGCACGTCAGCAACACCTGAGGTGTTTGACTCTTTCCGATCCTCTTGCAATTTTGGGCGCGAAGAGTGCTGTCCAGCGTCCGCAACTGATGCTGTGCTTGGCGGTGTCTCTTTTCCTCCTTTCTTGTTGGTCTTCCCTCTGCGATTCTTTGACACTGTCTGCACGTCAGCAACACCTGATGTTTTTGACTTTCTTGGCTCCTCTTGCAACTCTGGAATAGCAGTGTGCTGTTTAGGAGGTACAAATGATGCTGTGCTCGGCTGTGTCTCCTCTCCCCTCTTGCCTTTCTTTCCTCGCTTCGTTGACACCGTCTCCTTTGTCTGCCCAGAGGTTCTCTGACCTGACCCTCTTTGAGAATCTGCATCCAGGACCATTGAGATGCCCTCGATCTTGCATGGCTCTGAGATCGCCTCTTTCACTTCGGCCTTAGAAAAATCCAGCACCCGTGGCTGCGCACCGAGCTGTCCGTGTGGCTTCACATACTCTGGGGACGATGGTGCCGTAGATGCCGCAGATGCTGTCAGGGGCTGGGAGGCCAGCACCGACATCAACGTTCCACTGGGAGCTGTTGGAACAGTTGGAACGTCACGGAGCTTCTTCATACCGGCCTAGCAAAAATGATGCCAAATGATGCGAAATGATCAAATGAGCCATGGATCAAAGATCAAAGTGATCAAAAATTACACTTTGGAAATGAAATGCCGGTCCATTTTTCTTCTCAGAGTTCTTAATTATATAGGCCTAATGTCTCAGAATTTGACTGCGGAAAATCCTATGGTAGATGATGGTAGATGTTTAAGTGAACCAGGGAAACCAGGGGAAATGCACAGAATCTGGGACAGGGTCCGCGCCTGCAAACGATCGATCCGACACCAGGGATCTGACCCTCCCCAATGTCCATAGCGACGACGAAAGCGCAAGTAGGTGTCTCCATTGCCCTCAGCCACCTGAAACTCCAAGAGATATGGGTGATCAACTTCTAGGACTACCAGGTGGGTTTTCATCTCTAAAAATGGACCATGTTGAATGACTTAGGTGACCAAGCACAGCTTGCTCCGCTTCTGTAGAGCTATCCACCACGTCCATGGTCCATGATCATGGTATGAATGTCCATGAATTTCTATGAGGCTTGTTGGTGAAATCATGTGAAATCCCCATTTTGCTTGGTGATTTCGGTGATTTATCATCTTGAATCACCATAAATCACCAAAAAAGACCACCATTCTGCCATCATTTTCTGGGTGAAATCCCTATTCTTCTGGGCCTTCTCAAGGACGAAGTCCTTCTGCATGAACTCCGCCGTCAGCAGCTGTGAGAGACTGTTGAAGCCAAAGGCCGTCTCACTGAGCTCAGCGCCGAAGTAGTCGCCTCGGGAAAATCATGGGATGATGGGATGATCCCAGATGATCCCAGGAAAGTTTGGGGAGTCAAAGTCCAAAACCCGATTTTAGCCGCATATATGCAGCATATTAACCAGCGTTTTCAGGCTAGGGTCACAGGGTTTTGACTCATAGCCCCATCAATGCCTAGCCGCCTAGCCATTTCTTTGAGGAAAATTCCATGGGATATATCGGATAATGATGGGAAGTCCATAAACTGGCACCCAAAGCATCACAACTTTCGATTTCAAGGCACGGATCATTTTCTTGATCTCAGAGACATGAAGCCGACCCCATTGATCTTGAAGCAGTCGTTTCAGACAGCCGCGCAGACACGCTTCAGTCGCCACCTCGGTGACTGAAACGACCCGCTGAACCAGTGCAGTGCCTGGTGGTGCCTGGTGAAGATTGGTGAAGCCTATCTGAGCTAAGGACATACCACTCACCTTCTTCCACACCAGTTGGCATCTTCCTCTGCATGTTACACCTGCAACGTTGCCGGATCCATCCGGATCCGGAACAGGACCGCTGAGCTTCGATTGGACTCCAGCGGGCCTTCTGAGATACTCCTCTGATTCCACGAATGCAACCAGGCGACCATTCTTGGTTCCTTAGGTGCCACCCCATCCGAACCAGAGCTATCAGCTATCTCTTGACATCATTTGACATCCAAGAGTCATAGATGTCATAGATTCCACAGCAGTTTGAGGATGTTCCACCAGCTTCAAACTATTTTTTGTGACGTTTTTGTGCACCGTTGGAACGTCTCCATTTCAACGACGAGATCCCGACCCAGTAGGTGAGTATTCAACGACGAGCGCACGAAGCCCAGCGCTTGGGGAAAATGCTCAGGCCTCTGGGGGGCACCGGACTGGGATAATCCTGGTACATCTGGTGACTATTGTGGGAGGGGTTGAATATGGTTGGATGTTGGACAAACTTCAAGGCTGCAGAGCCTCCACGGTGCAATGGATCTTCACTAGCCATCCCAAAATGGAGAATTTTGAGCCATCAACTGTCACAAAAACTGAGATCTCCTGCCTCTCACGGCGGTTGCACAACCAGAATGCAATCTCGAAAGCCTTGCGGAAGCAGAAATTCCTTGCCATGAGCCCCGCGGGTTTGTCCAAATATGGGGTATACCCCTAAGCTCCAGTGGTTAAACACTCATTTTCCCCATGAGAAGTCGCAGGAGATTGGAGCCCCCAACAGCCTGATGATCTGGTGCGATGGACCATGGCCAGCCGCCCTCCAACAGACCCTCTTTGAACTCTTCAATTTCCTTCAGGGATGCAGGCCCTTTTGGATGGATGCCATGGTTTGTGCCAAGAATGGGTCCCATCAAATACCCTAAAATCCGCTGGTTTAAACCTCGTTGTGCCCTTAAGTTTGCCAGGGTTAATATCAGATATGGATTGATATGACATATCTACATATATTTATACCAGTAGTGCCCGCACGAGGCGGGGCGGAAGTTGCCTTAAAGATATATATACGACCTTTCTCATCTATAGAACTTGCATGCGCCGTGCGCCAGCCAAGCGCGTGCGTGCGTGCATTCTGCGAAAGTTGGGTCTTGTTTCTCATGTCACATTTGAAGCTCCACTTCGCACTTCACATTTCTCTCTGCACTCTTCACACTCCACACTTCACGCTTCACACTCCACACTTCACACTGCACTCTTCGCACTCCACACTTCATGTCACACTGCGCTCTTAAGACTCCACACTCCACACTTCACACTTCACAGTCCACGCTTCACACTTCTCACTTCTCACTGCTTTCTTCACACTCCACACTTCACACTGCACCCTTCACGCCCCACACTTCACACTGCACTCTTCACACTTCACACTTGCACTTCATCTCAACTCATCTCATCTGGGCTCTTCTCATCTCATTCCATGTCTTGCACAAAACACGTTCTAGTACTACTTTGTACTACAAAGCTTGCACAAAGTATTTCCCAGTACTATCAGTACTACTTTGTACTACAAAGCTTGCACAAACTACTTCCCAGTACTGATGTCTATTGCAGAAGCTTGCACAAACTACTTCCCAGTACTACTTTGTACTGCAAAGCTTGCACAAACTACTTCGCAGTACTACTTTGTACTACAAAGCTTGCACAAACTACTTCCCAGTACTGATGTCTATTGCAGAAGCTTGCACAAACTACTTCCCAGTACTACTGTGTTCTACAAAGCTTGCACAAACTACTTCCCAGTACTACTTTGTACTACAAAGCTTGCACAAAGCACTTCCCAGTACTACTTTGTACTACAAAGCTTGCACAAACTACTTCCCAGTACTACTTTGTACTACAAAGCCTACACAAAGAATTTCATCCCAGTACTACTTTGTACTGCAAAGCTTGCACAAACTGTCACAAACTACTTCACAGTACTACTTTGTACTACAAAGCTTGCACAAACTACTTCACAGTACTACTTTGTACTACAAAGCTTGCACAAACTACTTCCCAGCACTACTTTCTACTACAAAGCTTGCACAAACTACTTCCCAGTACTACTGTGTTCTACAAAGCTTGCAAAAAGTGTTTCCCAGTACTTTGTACTACAAAGCTTGCACAAGTATTTCCCACTACTACTGTGTACTACAAAGCTTGCACAAACTACTTCCCAGTACTACTTTGTACTACAAAGCCTACACAAAGAATTTCATCCCAGTACTACTTTGTACTACAAACCTTGCAGAAAGTATTTCCCAGGACTACATTGTGATACAAAGTTGGCACAAAGAAAGCTTTTACACACAGCAAGTTCTTTCGCAGAGAAGCTTTTACACACAGCAAGCTTTTTAAACAAGCTTGCACAAAGAAAGCATCTACACACAGCATATTCTTTCGCAGAGAAGCTTTTACACACAGCAAGCTTTTCAAGCAGAGAAACTCTTACACACAGAAGCTTTTACACACAACAAGCTTTTTCACAGAGAAGCTTTTACACAGAGCAAGTTTTCACACACAGCAAGCGTTTACACACAGAACACTTACACACAGTGTTTTTACACATGGCAAGCATTTACGCACACAGAAACTTTTGCACAGAGACGCTTTTACACACAGAGAAGCTTTTACACACAGCAAGTTTTTGAACACAAAATCTTTTACACACAGCGGCAAGCTTTTACAGAAAAATGTTTTTACACAGAGAAGCTCTCTTGAAGCCAAAAAAACGATTTTGAAGCACTTTTTAAAACAATTTTTAAAAGGAAAATTATTAGCGCCAAAATTGAGAAAATCTTCTGACAAATCATTGTCGCAGCCTTGATGCAGCCACTCCAATACGATTTACGATGTTCAGCTGCAAAAAAGACAATATAGTATTACGCATGCAGCCGCGGCACGAAGCAACCTTGACGCAGCCATTACAATGCGATCTGCAGAGACTGAATTGCAAGACACAATAGAACTACGCGCAGCGGCGTCGGAAATTGCAGCTCCAAAACCGGATGGATCTCGACGCCAAAGCAAGAAAAAGACGATTTTGAAGCACTTTTTGAAAGGATTTTTAAAAGGAAAATTACAAGCGCCAACCAAAATTGAGAAAATCTACTGACAAATCGCTATCACAGCCTGGATGCAGCCACTCCAATACGATTTACGATGTTTAGGTGCAAAAGACAATAGCAACCACGGCACAAAGCAACCTTGACGCAGCCATTACAATGCGATTTGTTGCAAAACACAATAGAACTACGTGCAACGGCCTCGGAAACTGCAGCTCCAAAACCGGATCTCGACGCCAAAGCAGAAAAAAGACGATTTCGAAGCACTTTTTAAAACAATTTTTAAAAGGAAAATTACTAGCGCCAAAATTGGGAAAATCTGCTGACAAATCGCTATCGCAGCCTGGATGCAGCCACTCCAATACGATTTACGATGTTCAGCTGCAAAAAAGACAATATAGTATTACGCATGCAGCCGCGGCACGAAGCAACCTTGACGCAGCCACTACAATGCGATCTGCAGCGACTGAGTTGCAAAACACAATAGAACTACGTGCAACGGCCTCGGAAACTGCAGCCCCAAAACCGGATCTCGACGCCAAAGCAGAAAAAAGACGATTTTGAAGCACTTTTAAAAAATATTTTTGAAAGGAAAATTGCAACATTCATGCAGCCATTCCAATGCGTTTTGCAGCATGACGTGGCTAACCCGCATGCATCTACGCACATGGCAACACCAGATGACAACAATCATGCAGCCATTCCAATGCGATCTGCAACCACAGATTCAAGAAACGCGTAGAACTACGCACACAGGAACAACCACTCGTTGCAGAACACAGAGAGGAGGAACCGATTGAACTCGAAACGGTCCAAACCGCACCCGCCGCACACACGAGGTACCTTTCATCGCCGGCTGAAGCCACTTTACACGGAAAAATACAAGGTTTCGTGCTCCGGCTTCCTCCCCAAAAGAAAGCCCATGCAACATTCATGCAGCCATTACAATGCGTTTTGCAGCATGACGTGGCTAACCCGCATGCACCTACGCACATAGCAACACCAGATGACAACAATCATGCAGCCATTCCAATGCGATCTGCAACCACAGATTCAAGAAACGCATAGAACTACGCACAAAGGAACAACCACTCGTTGCAGAACACAGAGGAGGAACCGATTGAACTCGAAACGATCCAAACCGCACCCGCCGCACACACGAGGTACCTTTCATCGCCGGCTGAAGCCACGTTACACACAAGGTTTCGTGCTCCGGCTTCCTCCCCAAAAGAAAGCCCATGCAACATTCATGCAGCCATTCCAATGCGTTTTGCAGCATGACGTGGCTAACCCGCATGCATCTACGCACATGGCAACACCAGATGGCAACAATCATGCAGCCATTCCAATGAGATCTGAGCAGCCACAGATTCAAGAAACACATAGAACTACGCACACAGGAACAACCACTCGTTGCAGAACACAGAGGAGGAACCGATTGAACTCGAAACGATCCAAACCGCACCCGCCAACAAGGTTTCGTGCTCCGGCTTCCTCCCCAACTCACCACTTGCCTTCGTCACCGCTTCCCTTCTTCACCACTTCCCTTCCTCACCACTTCCCATCGTCACTGTTTCCCTTCCTCACCACTTCCCTTCCTCACCACTCCCCTTCATCATCACTTCCCTTCTTCACCACTTCCCTTCCTCACCACTTCCCATCGTCACCACTTCCCTTCCTCACCACTTCCCTTCCTCACCATTTCCCATCGTCACCCCTTCCCATCATCACCACTTCCCATCGTCACCACTTCCCATCGTCACCACGTCCCTTCCTCACCACTTCCCTTCCTCACCACTTCCCATCGTCACCACTTCCCATCGTCACCACGTCCCTTCATCACCACCCCGTCATTGTCAGCAACCTTCATCAAGGTCAATTCCACCGCTTCTTATTCTTTGGTTCTGTATTGATATGTTATGTATTGTTATACGATCTACCGCCCTTCATCATTTCAAATCTCAGAATTCTATTTGTCCGTACTACTTTGTACTACAAAGCTTGCACAAAGCACTTCCCAGTACTACTTTGTACTACAAAGCTTGCACAAACTACTTCCCAGTACTACTTTGTACTACAAAGCCTACACAAAGAATTTCATCCCAGTACTACTTTGTACTGCAAAGCTTGCACAAAAACTAATCAACCCCCAAGCCATCTACTTTGCTCTCACAAAGCTTCGCAAAAATTTACCTACTTCCCACTAGCCTACTACAGTGTTACTTTACAAAGCTTGCACAAACTACTTCCCAGTACTACTTTCTACTACAAAGCTTGCACAAACTATTTCCCAGTACTACTGTGTTCTACAAAGCTTGCAAAAAGTGTTTCCCAGTACTTTGTACTACAAAGCTTGCACAAGTATTTACCACTACTACTGTGTACTACAAAGCTTGCACAAACTACTTCCCAGTACTACTTTGTACTACAAAGCCTACACAAAGAATTTCATCCCAGTACTACTTTGTACTGCAAACCTTGCAGAAAGTATTTCCCAGGACTACATTGTGATACAAAGTTGGCACAAAGAAAGCTTTTACACACAGCAAGTTCTTTCGCAGAGAAGCTTTTACACACAGCAAGCTTTTTAAACAAGCTTGCACAAAGAAAGCATCTACACACAGCATATTCTTTCGCAGAGAAGCTTTTACACACAGCAAGCTTTTCAAGCAGAGAAACTCTTACACACAGAAGCTTTTACACACAACAAGCTTTTTCACAGAGAAGCTTTTACACACAGCAAGTTTTCACACACAGCAAGCGTTTACACACAGAACACTTACACACAGTGTTTTTACACATGGCAAGCATTTACACACACAGAAACTTTTGCACAGAGACGCTTTTACACACAGAGAAGCTTTTACACACAGCAAGTTTTTGAACACAAAATCTTTTACACACAGCGGCAAGCTTTTACAGAAAAATGTTTTTACACAGAGAAGCTCTCTTGAAGCCAAAAAAACGATTTTGAAGCACTTTTTGAAAGGATTTTTAAAAGGAAAATTATTAGCGCCAAAATTGAGAAAATCTGCTGACAAATCATTGTCGCAGCCTTGATGCAGCCACTCCAATACTATTTACGAGATCCAGCTGCAAAAAACAATCAATAGTATTATGCATGCAGCCGCGGCACGAAGCAACCTTGACGCAGCCATTACAATGCGATCTGCAGAGACTGAATTGCAACACACAATAGAACTACGCGCAGCGGCGTCGGAAATTGCAGCTCCAAAACCGGATGGATCTCGACGCCAAAGCAAGAAAAAGACGATTTTGAAGCACTTTTTGAAAGGATTTTTAAAAGGAAAATTACAAGCGCCAAAATTGAGAAAATCTACTGACAAATCGCTATCACAGCCTGGATGCAGCCACTCCAATACGATTTACGATGTTTAGGTGCAAAAGACAATAGCAACCACGGCACAAAGCAACCTTGACGCAGCCATTACAATGCGATTTGTTGCAAAACACAACAGCTCCAAAACCGGATCTCGACGCCAAAGCAGAAAAAAGACGATTTCGAAGCACTTTTTAAAACAATTTTTACAAGGAAAATTACTAGCGCCAAAATTGGGAAAATTTGCTGACAAATCGCTATCGCAGCCTGGATGCAGCCACTCCAATACGATTTACGATGTTCAGCTGCAAAAAAGACAATATAGTATTACGCATGCAGCCGCGGCACGAAGCAACCTTGACGCAGCCACTACAATGCGATCTGCAGCGACTGAGTTGCAAAACACAATAGAACTACGTGCAACGGCCTCGGAAACTGCAGCCCCAAAACCGGATCTCGACGCCAAAGCAGAAAAAAGACGATTTTGAAGCACTTTTAAAAAATATTTTTGAAAGGAAAATTGCAACATTCAAAAGGGGTTGGTTGCTCCTAGGGGGGGTCCAGCCCCTGAAATAGTAGACCCCAGTGGCTGTTTTCCAGAGGGGCCTGACCCCCCCATACCCCTTTTGAGCATTTCTGAATGGATAAAATCTAGGGGCCCAAGTCTAGCATTCGTAAACCAAACATTTTTGCTAACACTCAACTTGGACAAGGGAACCAATACTTTGGAGCATTTTGGACGTTCAAAAATGATCAAAGGTCAGGCCCCTCAAAATATTTTGGGCATGTTGTGAATATTTAGGACATACATGTTTTATCTGTCAATCTTATGAAACCATGGACCTCCTGGATTTTAGCCATCGATTTTTTCTGCATGCCTCAGATAAGCTGGCCACTTTGAAAGGTTTTCAACGGAGATAAAGTTGATAAACATGTCATAACTATCTTCCCAAGAACACAATTTCTGCGCACCTTTAACGCCAGTTTTCTTAGAGAGATTCATCTATCAAGGTTAGCGGGTACAGATGTTATTTTCAGGCTTACCCTCCAAGTTTCAAGAGCAAAGATTGGACAAGGCGAGGTGTTGGTTTCCAGGATTTGGTAGCCTTTTTTGGAATCAATTTCAGCGTGTCCTTGATGTGCAGGAGACTTTGTTCTGGATTTACTTTTAACAAATATGATAAAGGTAAACATTTCAGAACTGTCCCAAGTAAATAAACTTAGTGCAAGTTTTTTGACGCCAATTTTGCAGAGAGGTTGATATCTCAAGGTTGGGCACACAGGTTTTATTTGCTGGAACTGAAGATGGACAGGGTGAGATGCTGGTATCCAGGATTTGGTTGCGTGCTTTTTGAGATCTATTTCAATATTTGTCCTTGATGTGAAAGTTCAACAAAGAATGACGTTCAAAAGAGATAATATTGACAGGGTTTCCGTGGCGCGAAAGCTGATAAACATGCCACACGTTTCCCAAGAAAAAAAATGTGCACCTTTGGTTGATGCCTGTTTTGCAGAGGGGTTCATCTATCAAGGTTGGGGACATGGATTTTACTTCTTCTTGGTTTTTTCCTTCAAGCTTCGCCCCGCTAGGTCGAAGCAGCTATCCGGGAACAGAAGAAGCACAGGATTTGGCAGCCTTTTTGTTTGGGTCAAATTCAATATGTTCATCTCAAAGTTCAAAAACAATAAAGTTTCAAGGTGAGGAAATTTGTAACGGTGAGTTTGATAAACATGCCAGCAATGCTCAACACAATAAATTTAATACACCTTTGTTACAATTTGATGCCAGTTTTGCAGTGGAATTCATCAATCAAGGTTGTTTTTTTTCCCTTTCCAATCCAAGGTGTAGGTTGGACCTAAACTGAAGGGGGCTGGCATCTGAAAATAAAATAGATACCAAGCCTCAAGTAAGATAAACATAAAATTCAAAGGCCCAACCTTCATAACATCAAAAGGCCTAACCTCAAGTTGGGATCAGATAAAATCCAAGGGTCTCGCCCCTCTTGAATCCTCTTTGGAATCGAATGCCCTTGAGGGGCCCTGGGGGGCCCTGGGGGGGTCGGAGCCCTTGGAATTTATCTCACACATAGGGCCACGATAAAATCTAGCAAGTGTGCTGCTAAAATCTGGGGCCCAATCTTCAAATTTACTCAAAAAACTAAAACATATATTCTGCACCTCAGGGGCTGGAGCTCCTAAATCTCGTTGGAACTGCAATCAAAGTAGGTTGGAGCTAAAATCAAGGGGCTGAACCTTTGAAAATATAAGATAGGTACCAAATCTCAAGTAGGATGAAAATAAAATTCAATGAGCCCAACCTTCCAAAGATAAAATCAAGGTGCCTGACCTGAAATTGGAGTGAGATAAAATCCAAGGGGCTGGACCCCCCCCATGGGTCCTCCTTGGAAGCGAGCACCCTTGAGGGGACCTAGGGGGGTCCAGCCTCTTAGAATTTATCTCACACTTATGATCGAGATAAAATCTAGCATGTCTGCAGATAAAATCAAGGGACCTATCGTCATTTTTACTAAGGCTTAAAAAAAATAGCCATGCACCCCAGGGGCTGGAGCTCCTAGATCTCAGCTGGGAGCTACCAACCCCTTTCATTCATGCAGCCATTCCAATGCGTTTTGCTGCATGACGTGGCTAACCCGCATGCATCTACGCACATGGCAACACCAGATGACAACAATCATGCAGCCATTCCAATGCGATCTGCAACCACAGATTCAAGAAACGCATAGAACTACGCACACAGGAACAACCACTCGTTGCAGAACACAGAGGAGGAACCGATTGAACTCGAAACGATCCAAACCGCACCCGCCGCACACACGAGGTACCTTTCATCGTCGGCTGAAGCAACTTTACACGGAAAAACGCAAGGTTTCGTGCTCCGGCTTCCTCCCCAAAAGAAAGCCCATGCAACATTCATGCAGCCATTACAATGCGTTTTGCAGCATGACGCGGCTAACCCGCATGCATCTACGCACATGGCAACACCAGATGACAACAATCATGCGGCCATTTCAATGCGATCTGCAACCACAGATTCAAGAAACGAATAGAACTACGCACACAGGAACAACCACTCGTTGCAGAACACAGAGGAGGAACCGATTGAACTCGAAACGATCCAAACCGCACCCGCCGCACACACGAGGTACCTTTCATCGCCGGCTGAAGCCACTTTACACGGAAAAACACAAGGTTTCGTGCTCCGGCTTCCTCCCCAAAAGAAAGCCCATGCAACATTCATGCAGCCATTACAATGCGTTTTGCAGCATGACGTGGCTAACCCGCATGCATCTACGCACATGGCAACACCAGATGACAACAATCATGCAGCCATTCCAATGCGATCTGCAACCACAGATTCAAGAAACGCATAGAACTACGCACAAAGGAACAACCACTCGTTGCAGAACACAGAGGAGGAACCGATTGAACTCGAAACGATCCAAACCGCACCCGCCAACAAGGTTTCGTGCTCCGGCTTCCTCCCCAACTCACCACTTGCCTTCGTCACCGCTTCCCTTCTTCACCACTTCCCTTCCTCACCACTTCCCATCGTCACTGTTTCCCTTCCTCACCACTTCCCTTCCTCACCACTCCCCTTCATCATCACTTCCATTCTTCACCACTTCCCTTCCTCACCACTTCCCATCGTCACCACTTCCCTTCCTCACCACTTCCCTTCCTCACCACTTCCCATCGTCACCCCTTCCCATCATCACCACTTCCCATCGTCACCACTTCCCATCGTCACCACGTCCCTTCCTCACCACTTCCCTTCCTCACCACTTCCCATCGTCACCACTTCCCATCGTCACCACGTCCCTTCGTCACCACCCCGTCATTGTCAGCACCCTTCATCAAGGTCAATTCCACCGCTTCTTATTCTTTGGTTCTGTATTGATATTATGTATTGTTATACGATCTACATCGATCTACCGCCCTTCATCATTTCAAATCTCAGAATTCTATTTGTCCGTAACACGGAAGTATTGCTTCCCAACTTCCTTTGATAATGGTATCTAAATGTATCTAATGGATTCAAATGTATATTATCTAATGGTATTTATACTTTAGTAACCCGTTTTATTGTCCAACGCTTCGGGTTCCTCGTCTGGCAGGTCCACTTTGCCATCATGAAAGCCTTGAAAGCCTTCGGGTGGTTCCTGGCCGGAAAAGCGATGGTGCGGAGTTCCCAATGTCAACCAAAGAGTATTTGCGGGGTGTCATTGATACAGTGATATTTATATATCCCATAGGATCCATGTATGGTACATATGCTAACATTGGGGGTATATTGATGGTAAATGTTACCATATATACCATACATGGATCCTATGGCTATTGAAAATGAACCCTGTTTTGGGGATTTTGGGGACATCTCCCTTCTTTGACCATCCGATCTTATCGAAGGGGTACAAGATGGTATCCTTTGGCATCCTGTGGCACCCTGTGACCTTGATGTTTCAAGGAAATCAGTCAATCTAGAGGTTGCCCATGTGATGTGTTTAAAGAATACAATAGAAAAAACGTATATGTTTTCAATTGTTTTCATATCAACACATATTACTGTAACGTGATATGGACACCCAAAATGCCCATTCGAAGGAAAGCCACCCATAAGAAAATCACGGCAAACCGCTCTCGAACGCCGAGGTGCTTCCAGCAGTACAGAGAAGGTCCTGGACCAAGATCCAAGATGAGTGGAGAAAATTGGGTTCACATATGTCAATATATATATATATGTCAATTAGATGTGGTAAGTTCAGAGTTAAGATCATATCATTTTACATCCCAAATTGTGAGTTCCCTGCGATTTAAACGATTTCTAGTAGGATTTGAACTCAAAACCCATCCTACCTTTCTCTGGCGAAATCCAATGCACAAGAAGTTGATGAAATTGACATGACCAACGGCATTCAGCCTCCAAGCTTGCTGTGCAATGTGAATGGTGCGGCAAAGTGAAGCGAACTCGATCTTTTTTCATCGTCGCGATCCTCTGTGAGGCTCCTGTCTGCCCAGCCAGCGAGACGATCGCCGTGGAAACTGCACAGATTTGTGGAGCTCAAAAAAAATCGAGGGGATCGCGGCTCAGTTAAAGAAGTAGCTGGAGAACAGCACCTGGGTTCAAACAACGTGACATCTTCAAGCAGAGAGACGAAATTCGGAGATTCTCCGCGTTTTGAACCAAGAGTGGTGAAAAGTGATACTCTCATGACTTCTACACACTAAGACCAAAGCCGAGAGGATGCAAATCAGCAGCAAGCCCCAGTACAAGGAGGTTCGGTTCAGCTCGACCTCACCAAAACGCCTACGGCCTACGAAATCTTTCAACAGCCTGACCTTCCTTTCTTGGCGAATGCAGCATGATTACAATGCCAATCCAACCTTGCGGCAGCATAAGCAACTAATATACATTGCCATAGGCTTGAGATTCTTGCTGGCAGCATGGCATCGTTGGGGCGTGGCTCAGGCAGGGCCTGCGACAATCCGAATGAATCTCAAAGAAACATGTTTTCCAGGCTGACATTCCTCGCATCATCCTTACATCAGATGTCACATGACATGAGGCAAATCTTATCACCTTGCCCCTGGTTTTCTACAATTTTCCTCATGCTCTATACAGGAATGCACCAAAGTAGACTGCTGAAGACTGACTCTTTACCAATGGGCTGGCCTTCAACACAACAGGGGAGTCAACCGCGGAGATCTCCACAGTGTTGCCAGCGAAGGCACCCTGAAAGGTCACATCAGGTCACATCAGGTCACAAAATGAAAGAATGACGCAGACGGACGGATAGCCAAAAAGTCCAAAGCAAACATTTCGTGCAGCATGACCCAATCATCCACAATCGCTGCTCGAGGAGTGAAGAAGAATCACCTGCCCCTGCAATGACCCTGTCACTCTCTCACTCACAACATGTACAAACCCAGAAAGGCCTGGCCACGCAGGGCAGGGGTCTGGACAACGAAGACCTTCCGTGTTTCGAAAGTGAAAAGGTCACAACCTATGAAAAGCGCAGCCAACATGTCCCAAGTTCCTACACTAATTTCAGCCACCATCCCTGGCAAATCCGTCCAATGTGCTGAAAGTGCACCAATTCAGCACAAATCCGAATTCTTCTTGCCATGTCTTCACCTCCTGCTCAGGGCTGGAGATGCTTGAGGAGAAGAGCCAAACGCAGGCCTCAGGAGACGTCGGACCCATCACGAGGCGGGCAGCAAGTGGCAGCAAGCAACTTCTGCCCCTGAAGTTCAAGACTTTAGACACCTCTGTATTTCTTTTCAATCCGAAAATTTTACTCGGAAATGTTTTAATTAGAAGCACAAGAGGTCTGAGTGCGGAACGGCGGCGGCCAGAACGAAGAGCGCAGGTCGGCGGGCCATTTCTGTGGACAAGCCTGGGATGTTGGAATGGCCTTGGGATGATGTTGGAATGATGTTGGGATGTTGGGAATTGCATGGAACTGCCGTCATTTTTGGAATTTGGAAGTTGCTGATGCTCTGACGTCCTCGGAAATCTCGGAATCTGAGGCCCTGACTCGAAAAAAACTCGGTGCGTCACGTGTCTCTCAGCTCTCTTGAACCAACGGCAGCGGACCGACTCACTCATGCACTCATGCACTTCAACATTTGCAGTCATCACCAGATGTTATGTTTTTTATTTTCATATGGTAATATATGGTTCTGCTTTGATCATCTTTAAGACGATTACAAAGGAGAATCACTTGGTTGTTCCCGGTTGTTCCCGGTTGTTCCCTCTCCTCTTGGCGCTCTTGACATCTGGGTCCAGAAGGAGCCCAGGAGTTTGATGAGCTCCATCACGGATCTGCAGCACCTGCAGTGGGACACCTGGGGGAACCCGGCTGGGCTGGTCCCACACGCTATGACGCACTGAGGAATGTACAGAGTAGGTGGATCCAAACAACTTGTAGACCTGCAGGGCTCGCAATCAAGGGATCTGCTTATAAGATCTAAGATCCTATACGGCAAGGAAAAACTACAGGAAACCACAGAACTGAATCCATTTAAATCCCAAAAATATCGGGTTTTCCGAGTTTTCCAATGGTTTACCTGCAAATTCTCCCATCATTAAGAACGCCTATGGCATTGCCCACGTGAAGCGAACGCTGCTCCCACCTTCCATTGAATCAGCTTGCAGCGAGGCTCAACGCGCACTTTGTAGAGCCTGACATCATGACGGCAAGACTAGGGCAAAACTGGATCGAATTATGTTGATTCATCTTGATTCATTTTGATTCATCTTGACTCATCCTGATTCATCTTGATACATCTTGGATGATTGGCTAGAAATATGATGCTCAAATGGAGTGAAGAACTGCTGCATCTCGGATAAGGAAACATCTTGATGGACCTGAGGCGCTGTACTGCAACCATGCACATATTTTACCATATTTTACCATGACATTCCGCGCGCACGTAGCGGCTATGTACATTGCAGCCACGCATTGACATGCAATGACTGCTGTCTTGGAACCCTGGGGCCATTTCAGCCGAAAATTCGGTCAGAAACAAATTTACCATGGGAGTGACTCCAGTACACACGGAACTGAAGACTCGAAAAATGGCTGCATGCTTTTAGCTGCCCATGGCAATTTGACCACTCATGATTGGATAATAAGCAGCCGCAACCCCAAAGACTAGCATGGCAGCAGCCGAGGCAAACATGATGTAGGCGAAAATCAGGGCATCCAACCCCAAGACTTTCCTGCCACGATTGGTGTCCGAATCAAGGCCTATGGACACCTTGCCCTTGATGCCCACTGGGCGCTTCTTTTTTGGGGCAAAGGCGTCTTCCGGTTTCGGAATGATCACCGGTTCGGCCGTGCCAAAGGGTTTGCCAAAAGCGATGCGGGTCCAAAAGACATAGGACATGTATGCAAAAAATGCAACACCAGCAAGGGCAATGGCTGTGTTCGCATACATATCCTCCTGCTTTACAGCAGTTAAACCTGTCATCACACGAACACCTTCACCAGTGAGAAGCATCTCTTCACGTGAGGCCTGCATCAACTGGGAGTCTGGGACTCGAGCTGTGCTTCTGAAACCTGTGAAGTTGGCATTTCTACACCAAGCACCAAGTTGCACCAAACTCCCAAGGCACACCCAGCGCAAGAGATAGTCGGCCCGACAGCGATACATGGCCTTCCTATTGAAAGGCATGTTTGGTGAAATTTCTTGAGGTCTAATTATTAATTGGGTCATCTCATCATCTTGGCTGATATCAAAATCGATGCGACTTCAATGCAGAACTTCTTCACATGTCAGCATTCTTCCCTTTAGTGGTGCAATTTGTAGGAAATGTGTAGGGTGGAACCAACCACTGAATCATCACTGAGTCATCCAGAATCATCCACTTCAGCTGATCTCAACTTTTTCTACGAGCCAAGAAAACATGTACAAATGCGGTTACTGCCTGGCGAAACTGCTGCTGTAAATCCATCAAATGAGCCAGGTTTTGAACTTGAGAAAATGAATAAAATTGATGCATTCTCTCAAACATGCAAGCGATGCTCAACCACAGCTCCTGCAGCATGGAAAAGCATCTTGGATATGTCATGTCTTAGTCGTCTCACGTTCAACCTTATCAGACCCCAAAAAACAACAAACACACGGCATGACCAATCCCCGACATTGGCCACATGGCCACAAAAAATAAAAACATCTTCCGAGCCAAAATTTGGGATACCAGGGATATCTATGGAATATCTACAGAGTACCTTATATGCTTAAAATATAAATGTAATAGTGTTCAGTAACCATAACGTCAAATGTATTACATTATGGATATCAAATCCCAACATACTATCACAATCTGATTATTCTGGGATACCGCATGATACCTCTGAAAAATGTCGGGCAGAGTTTTCCCTCCTGTCAGCGCGGCTTCCTCTGGCACAGATCGGCCACTCTGATACGAAGGCGGCATGGCGGCCAAACGAAACCCAAATGAAATGGGAACGGATGATGAAACGCAGGGATTCCACGGAACGTGGAAATGCTGCCGAAACATCTGGGAAATGTATGGAAATGTTGGAAAAGATTGAAGTCAATCTTGAAAACATCGAGGGATATTGGAAGATATTGGAAGATTTTGGAAGGAAGCATGTCTTCAGACTTGCAATCTTTCGACAAAAGGGGCAGAGTTCCACCATCTGGCTCGAGCAGCTGCATTGACAAGTCAGCCACAAGATGCCACAAGTCCCTATTTTCCCTCCCATCCACGTCCAGAGGCTTGGCAATTCAGCATGTTGTCTCGGGAGAGCAAGGCTGAATGATTCCAGTTACAGTACTTACTGACACTTGATCAACTTTCATTTTCGCTCGCGATCCTCTGTGAGGCTTCCGTCTCTTTCCGCAGTCAGCGAGACGCTCGCACTGAACCTGCAGACATGTCAAGCTCAAAAAGATCTTTAAAAGGGATCGCGGCTCAGTTGAAGAAGTAGCTGGAGAAGAGGACCTGGGTAGTTCAGTTCAAATAACATGACATAACATGACGTCTTGAACTTACAAAAAAAAGAGTGTCGAAGCTTCTCCAGGTTTTGAAAGAAAAACGTGGTAAGCAATACTTCTATGCACACTAAGACCAAAGCCGAGAGGATGCAGATCAGCAGCAAGCCCCAGTACAAGGAGGTTCGGTTCAGCTCGACCTCACCAAAACGCCTACGGCCTACTGAAATCTTTCAACAGCCTGACCTTCCTTTCTTGGCGAATGCAGCATGATTACAATTCCAATCCAACCTTGCGGCCGAAAAACAACCAATATACACTGCCATAGGCTTGAGATTCTTGCTGGCAGCATGGCATCGTTGGGGCGTGGCTCAGGCAGGGCCTGCGACAATCCGAATGAATCTCAAAGAAACATGTTTTCCAGGCTGACATTCCTCGCATCATATATCACATGAGGCAAATCTTATCAGTCTTATCACCTTGTCCCTGGCTTTCTACACGCTCTACAGGAATGCACCAAAGACAACTGTTTAAACACTCTCCACTTGCTGCATCGGTTGCCTTCAACACCACAAGGGAGTCAACTGCAGAGATCTCCACGGTGCCGCCAGTGAAGGCACCCTGAAAGACCAAACATTTAGAGTTTAAAGCAAACATTCCGTGCAGCAGGATAGCCGCAATGACCACCCAACACACACCCAACAACTAAGGAACAACTAACTACCGACCAATCGCTGTTGGAGAGGCCTGGCCACGCAGGGCAGGGGTCTGGACAACGAAGACCTTCCATGTTTCGAAGGCGAAGAGTTGTTTCCGCTCCGTGTGGCAACATTTTCGAAGTTCCTACAAAGTACATCCTTCGCAAATCCGTCCAATGCGCTGAAAGCGCACGGATTCAGCACAAATCCAAATTCTGGACAGATCTTCACCTCCTGCTCAGGGCTGGAGATGCTTGCGGAGAAGAGCCAAACGCATGCCTTGGGACGCATCATGAGTTGCGGCCAAGGTCCGAACTCGAATATTGACGTCTCTGCTGATGTACGGTCTCTGTGTTTTCATGCGATTTTTTGAGTCGAAAATGGCGTCATCAGTAGCGCAAGAGGTCTGAGTCTAGGACGGCGGCGGCCAGAACGAAGAGCGCAGGTCGGCGGGCCATTCTGCCAATCGGGGGCTAGGGCCTTGGCTGACGAGATCTGACGAGTGCCCAGGAATTCAGCCTTGGCCACGGGAAAGCGTCGAAGCTGAGTTGGCTGCTGCGGGGTTCAACCAGTTTTCACTTCTTGGGCAAAAAAGGCCATGCAAATATCGGGCAGAATGAATCTCAGCAAACACGACATGGTTCTTCTGAGTATTTGCTGGTGTGCGTAGCGCATTATTGCATATTCTGCACCTGGACATGGAGAACAATGCAAAAGACGTGGTTGATACTATTTGTCCTTCTGGCGCAAAGTGGCAGGAACTAAAAATACGTGCAAGCAATGCAAAACATCCATGCGAAAAATTTTCCACCGCAGCCCTTTGCACATTCTCAAACCACGGGCTATAGTGCAAAATGGCCTCGTGCATTCCTCTGTGGGAACACACACTTGCATCAACATTGTGTTGCTTTGCAAGTCATCGATATAAAGCTGAAATGAATCTCTATACTCTATACAGCTTAAATCAGTCAGCCATCTCGTCTTGGGGTCGAGATCAGGCAGGGTTTAGATCAGGCATGTTTTGAAGGATTTTTTTTGTTTTTGGCGCAGGTTTTGAAGAAAGTTGAGGCAATATGGTTTCTCGCTAAACATAACGAGCAGGCATCAAAAAGAAATGCAAAACACAATTTCAGTTTATATCATGTTTTATCTACCCATGCGTGATTAAGGCAGTGATTTGATCCATTTCTAGCTCAACCTGTTCCTCAGGTAGCAATTTGGGATCAGTTTTTTTTCCGAGAGCGTCTGAGCGCAGGGTTCTTCCAATAGTGGGGGTCTGCATCTCATCTTCTCATCTTCACATCTTCTCATCTTCACATCTTCTCATCTTCACATCTTCTCATCTTCACATCTTCTCATCTTCACATCTTGAGTTCTTCACATCTTCACATCTTGAGTTCTTCACATCTTCACATCTTGAGTTCTTCACATCTTCACATCTTGAGTTCTTCACATCTTCTCATCTTCACATCTTCGCATCTTCACATCTGCACATCCTCACATCTTCACATCTTCTCCTCTTGCCCTCTTGCCCTCTTGCCCTCTTGCCCTCTTGCCCCCTTGCCCTCTTGCCCTCTTGCCCTCTTGCCCCTCTTGCCCTCTTGCCTCTCTTGCCCTCTCCTTCTTTTCTATTTCAGAAACCCTTTCGCACGAAACGAGGTTCGATCGCCAAAAACTAAGGCAAAATTGCGATTCGAAGGTGTCCCGCGCAACCCTTTCGCACGAAACGAGGTTCGATCGCCAAAAACTGAGGCAAAATTGCGATTTCAAGGTGTCCGGAGCAACCCTTTCGCGCGAAACGAGGTTCGATCGCCAAAAACTGAGGTAAAACTGCGAGTTCAAGTCGTCCCGCGCAACCCTTTCGCACGAAATGAGGTTCGATCGTCAAAAACTGAGGTAAATTTGCGATTTCAAGTTGTCCCGCGCAACCATTTCGCACGAAACGAGGTTCGATCGTCAGAAACTGAAGTAAAATTGTGATTTCCAAGTTGCTCCGCGCAACCCTTTCGCACGAAACGAGGTTCGATCGTCAAAAAGTGTGTAAAAGCTTTTGTGTGTGAAACCGCCTGTGTGTGTGAAAGTGTTTGTGTGTAAAAGCCTCTGTGTGTAAAAGCGTCTGTGTGTAGAAGCGTCTGTGTGTAAAAGCGTCTGTGTGTAAAAGCGTCTGTGTGTAAAAGCGTCTGTGTGTAAAAGTGTTAGTGTGTAAAAGCGTCTGTGTGTAAAAGCTTTTGTGCACAAAAGTGTCTGTGTGTGTGCAAGCGTCTGTGTGTAAGTGTGTGTGTAAGCGTCTGTGTGTGTAAGCGTCTGTGTGTGTGCAAGCGTCTGTGTGTGTAACTGTGTGTGTGCTAGCGTCTGTGTGTAAAAGCTTTTGTGTGCAAAAGTGTCTGTGTGTCAAAGTGTTTGTGTGTAAAAGCTTTTGTGTGCAAAAGTGTCTGTGTGTCAAAGTGTCTGTGTGTAAAAGCGTCTGTGTGTAAAAGCGTCTGTGTGTAAAAGCGTCTGTGTGTAAAAGCGCCTGCCTGTAAAAGCTTCTCTGTGTAAGGGGTTTTCTGTGTAAAAGCTTGCTCTGTGTAAAAGCTTCTGTGTGTAAAAGTGTTTGCGATGCAAACTATTGTCTTGTACTTACGCTATATTGTCTTGATACTCCTCTTCTCGACTGCCTATAACACATCTTTAATATATTGTTTGGTAGTATGGTGTCTCCATACTAACAAGAGAAGACCCTGCTCCTCTGCGCTCTCGGGCCATCCGTCGTCTAGTTGAAAATGTCCAGCCGTTCAAAGTTGATGGCATCACAATATTTCAACGCATTGGTGCGTGTAACACCGTGTAACAGCGTCTGGAATTCATTGGAACAGAGAGCTTTGACTCTTGAGGTGTGCATGGTCCATGTGTATGGTGCAAATAGGGAGCGGTTGTATCTTTTGGATGCTGCCTTACTTGGATTTGACGAGCGTGCAACAGCGTGAATGGAGCCCCAATGTCTGTCAATTTTGC